CCAGCAGGGATTGTGATGTACATGAGAAATCTGACCATGATACTAGATCAGACTTAGATAGTATGAACCTCCCTGTTTTAAGTGCAATGCCGCCAAATACAGTGCCTGATGAGGAGCCTAGGGATAGTGAGGGAAGGCATTGCAACCATACTGAGAATGACAGTGAGACAAAACGGTATCCTCAAAGAGAAAGGACCCTCCCAGATACTTAGAAGAGGACACCCTCCTCCCTAAGAATGCCGATTGTGCCCACATTAGTGTAGATTACTGCTACAAAGTTTGTGGATTACCACAAAATTACACAGAAGCCATGGGATCACCTCAAGCTAGGGAGTGGGAGCAAGCAATGAAGGAAGAGATCAGCTCTCTGAAGGAAAATGATACTTACGAATTATCAACTTTACCAGAAGGTAAAGCTTCAGTAGGGGGAAAATGGGTGTACACAACCAAACAAGATCAGAATGGCATAGAGTCCTTTAAGGCCAGATATGTAGCGAAGGGTTACAGCCAGGTAAAGGGTATAGATTATCAAGAAACTTTCGCCCCGACAGCCAGTATTACTTCAATTAGGGTCTTAATGCAGTTAGCAGTAAAACATGATCTTATTGTCCACCAGATGGACGTTAAAACTGCATATCTGCATGCCCCCATTACTCAAGAGTTATACATAGACCAGCCACAAGGGTTTGAAGAGGTTTCAGAGAGTGGTGAGAGGTTAGTATATAGGCTAAAGAAATCGCTATATGGTCTAAAACAATCAGGTAGAAATTGGAACATATTGTTACACGAGCATTTAGCAAATGACGGTTTTGTCAGAAACCATGCTGATCACTGTGTATATAAGAAACAAGTTGATGATAAAATTGTTATCGTCATTGTTTGGGTTGATGACCTAATCATAGCTTCAGATCGTATGCAGTTAATGGAAGAATTTAAAGAAAGTATGAAGACACAATTTAAGATGAAAGATCTAGGTAGAATCACTTTCTTCCTCGGAATGGATTTTAAGCAAAGCAAGGGTGAAATAAAAATTAATCAGAAAAGATTCATTCTTAAAATACTAGAGAGATTTGGAATGATAGACTGCAAGCCCAGGTTAACCCCATGTGAGCAACGATTAGAATTTAACTGTGGTGAATTGACCAACGCCAGACAGTATGGAGAAATGATAGGAAGCCTAATTTATGCCATGACCTGTACAAGGCCTGATTTAAGTTGGATTGTAAGCAGACTGTCTCAAACTCTGTCAAACCCCAGAACGGGAGATTTAATTGCTGCCAAACATGTCCTAAAGTATCTAAAGGGTACCGTGGATTATGAACTCTGCTTTAAGAAATCTGATGCTGACTTGCAGCTCACTGCTTATAGTGATTCAGATTGGGCCTCTTGCCTGGAAGACAGGCGAAGTACTACAGGTTACTGTTGTACTCTAACTGAAGCTACATATACTTTAAAATACTCTCATTTAAATTTAGCCTGCGAGTAGCAGGTATTGCCCAATTTCCTCTATCACCCTCTAATACCACGCCTTCTAAGCAGGCTAATTTTAATTGTTAATGTATAAGTCAGTGCAATCAAATATTGACTCCAATACCATGAAAAAGTAGTAAAAAAAACTTTTTTCTGTATTCTCCACTCACGGCCTTGCCTTTGCCTTCCTCAGGGCTGACTTAGCCCATGAACCTCCTTTGCAAAAATGTCTGACTATATACAGTCTATACTGTCTCCCTACCTTGGGGCAAAGGCTAGCATTACAACCCACATAAAGGCTAACTTGGCTAGTAAAAGCTAATTAAGTTAAAGCTTTGTCCTTGGCAAGGCTCCATTGGCATTGTGCTATAGAAGCTAAGAGGTGGTGAAAAGTGATTGCATCCTTATCCTGGTTTTAAATTGTCTATTGTTTATTTGTTTTTAACTTCTAAAAATAATCTAGAACATTCCAAGCCTTCCAAAGTACGCATAGCCATAGTCATAGATCCTGCGTGTCTCTGCAGCTCACCCTATTTTATAGATCTTAATCTCATTGAAATAATAAAAATCAACTTCCAGGCATGCTTGTTGAAGACCGAGACTGCTTGTGTTACTCAACAGCTAATATGATAATTGCTAATATAAATTTTTCAGTCGTCAGCAGCTACGTCATCATATGTTTCATATTTTGAGGAAAGATTTACCAGCAAAATAGGAATTTAATATAATTATAATTAATTTAGATTTTATTTAATTAGTCGGTGGTCTTTCATGGTCAAGTTGGTGTAGGTTTGTTCTCCTGACTTAAAGGACATCGGCAACGGATTTTTTTATTGGCTATTTTTGTTCACGTTGGTTATCTTAATAAGGATACGTATTTTATTTGGAATGAAAATTATTCGATTCGGAGTAAGAAGCGAATGAAGTTGGTCTAATTATGCATGGTGTCCGCCATCTTGAAGAAATTCCCGATATGCTAATTTATGCTGAAATGCCTTACTGATGTCATTGGCAGGGGAACGGATTATACAATGTATACGGCCCTTGTAAATAGCTATAGTTTACATGCTGTTTTTTTCTACCTTATTTGAGGAAATTGCATAAAAATGACATAGCAACCTTGTTTATTTCTATAAATTTCCATAATAAGCGTTCTTTCGCCTTGCGGAAGATATGCGACGAGTATTTACGTCTTAGTGTAGGCGCGCCGAACATCTTGTGTCAATGCAATATACGGTTGACATAAGTTTAATTTTTTAAAATCACTGTGGAAACCAATTCATTTTTTGTCCATTTTTTTCTGGGCGAGGGTAGGTAAGAAATGATGCTTTAGTTTTCTAAAAAACATATAAAACGCAAAACATAAACGGACTATGTTATAATCTATATTTTTCCACAGACTATTGCATTCATGTAATACGTATTAAACCATGAAGGTCAAAGTTAAGCAATGTATATTGCCCTGTGTACGGCTGCAATAGTGATAGTCAACTGAAGACAAATAGAAACGTTAATTTCTTTCGTTTTCCTTGCGGCAAAATGCCTGAGCAGAAGAGCCGTAGAGCGGCCTGGGAAGAATTTTGCAAACGAAAAGCATTCAAACCCTCACTTTGTACAAGGATTTGCTCGCTTCATTTTACCGAGGAGTCGTATGAACCCTCGCATTCTCCTCAATTCATCGAAAGCATTGGATACACAGAGAAAACGAGTTTGCGCGTAAAGCCCAATGTTTACCAACGCTTGACAAGCCTACGACCAGTGATAGCGTTTCTAACGTATCTGCATCGCCACAATCGAAGAGAACAAGGAGACAAACCGAGAGGAGACAACGTCAAAAGATACCAGTACTTGAAAGATACATTTACCAATAGCTTTAATAAATTCTGCTTCTTCAATGTCCTTATTTTTCTTCATTGTTTCACAATTTAGAATCTTGAAGAGTGGTTAAAGTCACTTTCATCAACAGAGGATGAAAATTTGTCGGTTGTGAATGTGACTTGCAAGTAATCTAAGCGATATAAAAGCAGACGTTCGCATAGACTCAGACGCAGTTTGTGAGGAAGAAATAATAGCCAGTTCAGATCTCTGAAGACATTTAGTTGATTTACGCTCCACAGTTAGAATCAAAATACACTCAGAAGTCAGACCTCGCTGAAACACACAAGTAAATCACACACATTCAAAACACAGACATTCGGAAGCAACGGCGCAGAATAAATGACTAGAACAAATCGCCAGAACTGAATAGGACTGTAAATGCAGCTCTAACAACTTTAGAGGCCGAACATACGTTAATCATCGAAGAACTACCTTCTGCACTACAAACGACATCATTAGAAAATTTTGACCAAACGAAGTAAAACTATAAATACCATAAGTCCATAACTAACCCACAGCTAACTAAAACCAACATTGACCGCTTCCTTCAGCATTTGTGACTAAAGGGTCGTACTCATCGTACTCTAAAGCCTTTTCGTGCGAGAAAAAACTTCCTATTGTCTTTGTTTGCAAGGGACAGTGGCCACACTTGCACCAACTGCGCGATTTAAGACGCCAGATATTCTCAGCCTCGAATGCTTCATCGAAGTCTCAAGTCGTCGTCTGAGCCTTTGAGGACGACTCCCTCTCGGAATCGCTTCTGCCCCACTGCTACCAGTATTTTTGTTTAAAACAGGTTCAAACTGATAAGGTAACACTTCACCTAACTGATTCTCGTGAATTTCGTCCATAGAAAGCCTAGAACCGACGAAAATTCTTCACAAAAGTTAAAACTGATCAAAACCTATAGTAGCGACAGCGCATTGTTTTGCTTCTCCCCTGCCAATGACGTCAGAGGCCTCAAATGACATGAAAGATAATTTTCCAAAATATGCTTTCAAAATGGCGGGCGATATGCATAATTAGACCAAATTCATTCACTCTTTACTACAAATTGAGATATTTTCATCGCAAATGAAATACATATCTTGACTAAGACAATTATAGAGAACAAAACAAGGCAATAAAAAAATCCATTGCCGATGTCCTTTAAGGTGGTTTTCCACTAGGCGAAATTTTTCGACCGAACCAAAATTTCTATTGTTCAAATTCAAAAGATTTCTGATTAGTTCCATCTGAGTGCTTGTAAGGCAAAAGAAAATTTCGATTCGGTCGAAAAATTTAGTGGAAAACGGCCTTTACAAGCTCTCAGATGGAACTAAACAGAAATCTTTTGAATTTGAACAATAGAAATTTGATCGAAAAATTTCGCCTATAGTGGATGTAAATTGCTGACAAATAAACTATTTTCATTATAATGCCACATAGTTACTAAATTATTGGGTATATTTGCAATGATATCTCAAATGTGTAAGAGCGACAGTATCTTTTTTAATTAGTAAAGTATGAACTAAAATGAACGAACTGACCAATTAAGTCAATTAACTGATCAATATTTTAGAACTATCATTGTGCTCACAAAACGCTTGGTATCAAAGACTCTATATCGTGTGGTTGAAAGATGTTGTGGGGGTTGGACTGGTGATGATTGCATGACAGGTATGTTATAGTGGACTGTGGATGCAATATTCTGTATGGACAGGTGTCAACTATTGGTTATACGGTATCAATACGGAACAGCTATTACGTCGTTTGTTATAGTTATCGCGGTAGGAAATTTATTTATATAATTTGTCAGGGAAAAATACAGGGAAATGTTGGTTGTAGGCCTAGTATACAGCCGTGAGTAACGGCAATCGCTCGCCCTTTTAATTAGTGGTTTATTTACCAGGCTTTGTGCCGAAATATGCCATAGGCATGCAATTAATTCTTTATTACTTGGCAAGTCCTTTCTAATCTAGACTCGTAGATGAAATAAACAGATTGTTTCATTGTATACGTCAGTAAAAATTGGAGTGTGACCCAAGAAAGATTCTTCATAAGTCACGGTTCTATTATGGCAATTTTGTTAAGGGAAACAACTTGCGACGCCCCTATAGCTTGCAATAATATTTATTTATGGTGACTGAATGTTCTCAATCATAACATCTTCATTATATAGCTACTGATGAAGAACAAGGAAACAACTTTAAAAGACAATCAAGTAAATGAGCACTGCATTGATTTTGGATAAGAAATAGAACTTAAACATCGGGTTAAAGACATTAAAATTATCTTCCTTTTTATATCATATATGTAAACCAACTAGTTCTTGGCCAAACTTTTATTTTTTATGTAAACCCAAGAAACTACGTTGTTTTTTTCATGTAAGCCCAAGAAACCACATGCATATGATGGAAAAGCTTATACTCTAAAATTTTTTTCAAGGAGTCAATCCAGGAATATGTCCAAGATATTCAAGCACAGGACGTTTTGGACGTTGTGCAGATGAATGCCAAACTGACGCAGATTGTGGAAAGACCAAGAAGTGTTGCAGGTCAACATGCATAGGACTGAAATGCGTGTCACCATGTAAGATGTTTTCAGTAAAATAAACAAGCAGTAGAATACAATTATATAATAATCAATATAAGAATGTATCACCCCAAAATTTCAGAAAATATAAATCTAGCTAAAGATCAACATCTTCAGAAATGTATGTGGATCGAAAACATGCAGGAACGAAATTAAATTACGTTTTTATATTTTGAATCGACATATACTGTAAAATAAGATCAGATCTTGCAAGATCTCGAATACTAGAGTATCATGCGAGAAAAAAACTAATATTAGGTGTGTAAGATTGCCGTCTGATAGATAAAAACCTACTGAGTACTGTGTCCGGATTTTAGGTAAAACCTTCTCTAAATATCGGCACATAATGCTAACCTAAGAGCAAAAATAAAATTTCACATACCTGTGCTAAAAGCGGCTTTCTGATTGGTTCCGTGAGCAGGTGAGTTATTTCGAACTCTTCTGCCCTTCGCCACACTTATGCACCCGCGATAAAACTTCTTACGTTGCCGTCCGCGTCAATAACAAAGGCGGGCAAGATTTAGCCGATAAACATAAAATTTAAAGAACTTTTTTCGGTAACTCACCTGCTGAAACTGAAGAAAACCAAAGAAAAAATGCGATGTTTAATGTTTAATTATATATATTTTTGTACATTCTCCCAGAAAGTACTCAAAACTAGTTATTTCATTAACTACATTAACCCCAGTTATATCACATTAATATTTTCAACAGCGTGTAAATGTCTTAATGGAGGAATTTGTGACGCAAACTTTCGCTGTGTTTGCTCTATTGGATTTTCTGGCAACAGTTGTGAGTTTGGTAAGTACTATATAGTTGTCCTGTCAGGTCTTTCACATAATTAGCGCAAAAATATTTGCCAAAACTTTTGCATTAAATTGGTCATTTTAATTATAATAATTATCATGAAATAAGGCGTGTTACTGACCTTGCTGGCACAATCCACAATTCCTGCAATAGACCTTTGCATTTATTACCCGTTCTATTGAATATAGTGGCTCAATTCAAGTTATATATATTAAGCTTGTATTAAGAATTAAGGTCAATCCGTATTACACGTCAGGAGATTAATGCACTCAGGATAACTATTTTAAGTATGATTGAATCTATTTCATCTGCTAATCCTATAAAAAGATTACCCTTGGAATGTCCAAAATCCATTTACAGCCGACAATTTGATAAAAGAATATATAAAAAAATAAGGGGCTTTTTAGATAATCTTGCATGGTTTGCAGGAACGGGTGGAAGGTGAGATGATTGAAATAAATCGAAAGTTAAAACGCCGATTAAAATAACTCAAATGTTTTGGAGAAGACCTCGCAGTTGAAGAAGATTATTCTTGCTGCTTGAACAACCTGTCGCGTTTATACAATTATACTACTATTTTATCTATAGATAAATAATGTAGTTTTGCTGAATCGTGCAACGTAACATTTTTCAATCATCCCGCCTCACATATCTTCTCGGTTAAGCGAGATCATGTAAACTGCCACAAAAACACGGCATTTTGCAAATCCAAGATATGAATTAAGATCATGACAAAAAATTTATCGTTTTATTTACCATTGATTTTAATCCATATCTTGGTCTTGGATTTGCAAGATTCATTTCATTGGAATTTGTTTTATTTTATAGTCTAATTAGAGTGTGGTTATGAGGAGTAGATACTCGCAACTACATGAATAAGGAACTGCTGTAGAATTAATATGTTGCAATGACTTCTTTCTTTTTATTAATATGTTGCAATGACTTCTTTCTAAAATGAAGTGCAGTCGTTTTCCGTTGTACAATAAAATTATTATTTTATTGTACAACGGAAAACGACTGCATTTCATTTTAGAAACTTTGTTTTTCGATCAAATTTGAATCTTAGTTCTAAAATAAATAAAATAAAATAAAATAACGTAAATTGTATTTTGCGTTTAGGCATCAGAATAGCACGAGACAGTTGTGTAAAGCAGAACATCGCGATCAAGTATGGGACCGTATCATCCGATACCCTCACACTTAATGTTTCCGAGGCTAGAGCTAACATGCAGCAACTTGCTGATATCGGGAAAAAAGAATTAAATAGTAAATGTAGATCAAAAGCGACACTTAGACTTGGGACTGTACAGGTATCTGAGTCATCAGGCTACACGATCGAAGCATCGTTGGAATATTTAGTATATGCAGGGTACATACGTTGGGATTTCGCCACGTTTGTTGCGAATGCTAATCTATTTCAAGATATAGTTAATGACCCTAAGAAAGCTCCCGCTATTCAAGGGCAGTATTCGTCGTATGGAGCAACAAACGTTACTAAAGGTTCTAGTGGTTTAAGTGTCGCATCAACTTGCTGTAATTCTGGCTCGGTTGTTAACAGAGGATCTTGCCGTACGTTTTACTTTATTTATCAAGCCAACAACAGCAACAACAACAACAACAACAACAACAACAACAACAACAACAACAACAACAGCAGCAACAGCAACAACGCCGACAACGACAACGACAACGACAACGACAACGACAACGACGACAACAACGACGACGACGACGACAACGACGACGACGACGACGACGACGACGACGACCTAAAGCCAATGAATAGCTATAAATGTGAATAAAATAATTAAAAATAGTAATTATAATATTTTTAAATGATACAGCGGTCATCCAAGTTTAGTACGAGTTTGCATAATTCGAAATATATTTTTCCTTAACAGAACAATGCAACGCTCAGTTTTATCACGATAAAAATCAAGACAAGTGTATTGAATGCCCAGGCAATACATACCAACCTAACAGAGGAAGTACAAGTTGTTTAACGTGTCCGTCTGGCCAGATGCCAAACAGTGCTAAGACACAATGTGAAGGTAAAATCAAGTCAAGTTTGGTTATTGCCCATCATACTCTTGGGTTATAATCTATGTTTGGAATATTACATGACAGTTAATTCCTCATGTTGATAATTCGATAATATAGTCGAAAATTTTCGTTGCAGTGGCCTGTGTCCCATCGTGTCAAAATAATGGAATTTGTAGAAACGGTCTCTGCTACTGTCCTCAAGGCCATGAAGGGGTGTCTTGTGAAATACGTAAGTATTCTCAAGCGTGGCCGTTCGCCGTTTTAAATTATTTCTTTATACATCATTTAGTTGCCTTGAATATGCCTAGTTAGGTTTGGGCTACTTTTTTCTCAACAATGTTCATTTTAATTATTGCATGTGTAATTCCAACCTTTTCGTCCCGTCCGAAACAATGCAGTCTGTATAGTTCAGTAAGGTTGAAAAAACGCGCATCCAACTAAAATTAAGCAGCCGCTGTAGACATTAATTCATTCTATGGTCTTCTATACATCTGACTAGTGACATCATTGCATGTGACATAATCGTTACATCAATTTACAATACTTAATTATAACTTCGTGTAATACTAGTATTATCCGTATCTTTTTCCCAAAGAAGAAGCAACTGGGATGATACAACAGTTTGGAAACATTTTTTACCTGTGATTAAAAGTAAATAAAACACTGTGAAAGAGTCGTAACCTAGTCTCATTTCAAACAAACATCGTATTTACAAAAGAATAACGAAATACTAATTAGTTACAAGCAATACGCTTGCATGTTATTTTTGTTTGCCTCCAGTATGAATTGTCAGCATTACGTAATACCAACAACGTCCTTTACTTGTGCCAATTAGCCATTGTTGCAGCAAAACATGCTGATATATGGAGTACGATTTTCCTAATAAGATGGCAATTCTACCAATATGCGTCCTGAAACCCTCTTATGCATGAATTAAGATGTCAGGTAATGAATTCGACTGTAAAAGGGTTATTTTGAACCTTTTGTAGCGGTTTGTATGCAGGGTTGTCAGCATGGGACATGTACCTGCCCTGGACACTGTGCGTGTAATTCTGGATGGACAGGAATCAAGTGTCATAAATGTAAGTTAGGCGACTTGACGAAAATCTAGTTCAGCAATTGATGCACGTTTTCAGTTTAATAATATTATGTATTCATTGAAGCACGTTTGTCTAAAGTATACTTAAACGCACACCTTTATTTTTCTAATTCCTTTTTAAATTCAACTTGCATTGAGTATTGTGATTCCTGCACGTTTTCATGTACTGACATGAGTAACAGTGTACTATTCGTCAGTGCTGCACTTGTATAACTATAGCTGTGAAACACAAAAGGATCGAAATCATGCTGATTTACATGTTAAACTCTAAGTTCAATTCTCACCAAATATTATCCATTTATTTTAAATTGTTGAAGAATATATTATGTAGAATTGAAATGAATTTTATATTGGATATTCTTTATATCTGGTATTTAAACTCACTAATTTATTTTGATCGTCAGATATACGCCCGTATTCTAAAAGCTCACTCACGCTCACACTCAATGAGTGGAGGTTCAGTCTGGGCTTCTCTTGAGTGTCAGTGCTGTTTTTGAATACCTGGAGGATGAGTAGTTGCATAGTAAGGTACGACACTAACCCTTCAGCTATTTAAAAACAACACTGACACTCAAGAGAAGCTCAGATTGAACCCTCCACTCATTGAGTGTGAGTGAGCTTTTAGAATACGGGCGATAATCTCAATTTTTACCCTAGCAATCTGCAGCAAAACTTGTGAAAACGGTGGTGAATGTGTCGCTCCAAATACATGTTCTTGTCCACCATATTTTACGGGTCCTCAATGTACCACCATATTTTACGGGTCCTCAATGTACCACAGGTAAATCAAGCATGCAATAACATGATTTTATTACTAATCTACTTTTCCGATGCGTGAATGGCACTTCAATCAGTTACGGTCGGATCATTCCATTGTGTTTTCGTTGTTTTGGAAATCCCATGCCAGTCATGCCAATTAGGGAAAGTACATTTATTACACCGGGGGAGGGGGATGAAGATGTCTTGAAAAAAGCTCATATTTTTACAGGGCCCCTGTTGAGGTTATTGGTAAATTTTGATGCCCCCCCTCCCAAGTTTTTAAAATTTTCAATGCCCCCCCTCTAGAATTCGGAATCGAAGGAGTACAATCCGGAATTCTCTCTTATCATAGATTCAATTTGCAGTTCCTCAAGATGTCTGATATACTCAAGTGCTTCTCCTTAACAAAACTACCGATCTGCTGCTTCTTTCATCTCACTAGCGCCAGATGAAATGGCACCGTCTTTAAAACATTTTAAATTGGCTCTAGGAGTGGAATTATCAACAGGTTGTTGTTGTCCATCATTCAGCATATTCGGAGACTTGAACACGTTCATGTAGTGGCCAGGATTTCCTGGATCAGGGTAATGTGCTGGAACCTTACAGTATGTTGCCCCCACCCAACGTATCTCCCGGCATCTGTTGCAAATGTCTTTGCATGCCTGTCAAGAATGCATGCAAAAGTGCCAGTATGCTTCAATTTCTTTAATTTCCATCCCGTTTGTACGAAATATCCCATAAACATAGAACATATCATTCTTGCAAATTGTATATGCTTTTTTGCTTTTTGGCGCGTAAATTACTTCACAAACCTGGCGCAAAAAAATTTTAAATAAGCTATAGGTGATTTCCTGTATCCATTTAGAAGAGCAGACTAAGGATATCTTAAAACTAAAATCGGTTTCCAATACAACCATCAGGGACGTAGCAAAGCATCTGACATTTGGGGTGGGGGGGATGTCAGAGGATTATACGTGTAATAATTATAATAAAGCTTTTTGTGATTGATTGGTACTCTTATACTAAGTTTTGGGAGAAAAGGGGGGTCCTTGGGGTCCTCCCCCAAGAAATTTTTACATTTTCGAAGCTCTAGGACTGAATTTCTGGCGTTTTCTAAAGCAAATTTCGCAAACAAATTGCATGTAAATTGACTGTATTTTACAAAAATGGTTATCATTTCACAAAAATAATTACTTTATTACGCAAATTTTACCTGAAACTGATGTAAAAATTTTAACTTTAATTTGCTGGGGTCAAACCTTTGAAAAGTTTAGAGCCCTCCCTTCAGTATATCAAGAACTTTCAGAGCCCCCCCTTTAATGCCAGAAAATATTTCGGAGCCCCCCTTAACATCTTCATCCCCCCCCCGGCATAATAAATGTACTTTCCCTTACTTATATTCATTGCATTTGTTAATTTGATATTTAACAATATTATAATTGATTGAGGTTGAGCATGATGTGAACAATTATCAAATTAGACCAAGCCTGACGTTTGTCGTACTGATAACACAAACGGAGGGCTGGTAATTCTTCACATCTGGCAAAAACCGATTTCAAAATTTTTTTATTATTTATTCAAAAGATGAAAAAGACACCCGCACCTGTGGGCTGTGGGTTCAATCCGTCGAAATAATGACTAGTTCTCTTTTCCAAATATTTTCTTTTTTTCTTTCATAAGTACGTTTAAATGTTTCAAAATATTTCGTGGATGGTTTCTTTGATATTTCTTGATTATATTTTAAAAGTTGTTTCCTTTAAACCTGCAGACACGGCGCCATATTGTTTTAGTCGTGTTCCACATTTCGTATTCGTATTTCCACAGCATGACGTCGTAACGTTTAAAATATGATTTGTTTCATATTCAACGTTATGACGTTACTTTGTTGAATATTATGTGAAACCTCCATATTTGGTCGGTATTGAGTTGATGTGACGATTTTATAGTTGCCTGTTAGCCAATCAGTAACCATGAATCCTTTAAAAAAATAATAAAATGTGCTATGATGCAAATGATATTCGTGCTGGATCGCAACCACATTCAGTGAGCCTAAATCCGGTAACGACTAACAACGTTGTAAACATACATGTTAGTTCCAAAACAAGAAACAATTATGTCTAGAACGTCGCAAATCTAATTTAAGCAATATCTAATCTGAGTTATTTAAAACATTGCAGGTACTGTAGGAAGGCATTTTGATTGAGCTTTATCCGGCGGATATACGTTTAATGACAGAGACGTATAACCTCCTTCGTGAGCCTCCTCCAGATAAATATTGTTTTGCAGTTTCTCATATTAGCTGAAGATGATTCTTTAACAGAATTGAAACGAAACAAATTTGTTTTCTAGATTTCTGCCGCACGCCATGTGAAAATGGAGGAACATGTCGTGCTGGAAGTTGCATTTGTCCAAGTGGATGGACTGGTCCAATCTGTGAGCAAGGTGAGTGAGGATTTTTAATACATATCCACATTCTACTATTTTCCCGATATACGAAAACGAAAACGTGTAAGTAAATACGTTTCCGGATAACATACCATGCTAAAACTGATAAATCTTAATTTTTAAACTTTACCGATATGTACACAAGGTTGTGGGCAAGGAAGATGTGTTTTGCCTGAGCAATGCAGCTGTCCTACAAGACTGGGAGGACGTAAATGTGAACTTTGTGAGTATAAGTTCTTTGTAATAGTTTCTCATATTAGCTGAAGATGATTCTTTAACAGAATAAAAAAACCGTTAACTAACTAAACCGTTAACTATTAATAACCGTTTACTATTTGTGAGTATACTTTATTGGTCCAAGATTTAAATTATGCATGCATCTCAAAAATTGGTAGCCCGCGTGCAGGCCCAAGGGAACTGATAGTGGGCCTGCAAGCAAGGCCCGGTATTTTGTACTTTCCGCGTTCGCCCACGAACGCGGCATTCTGATTGGCTGTTTGCTGTTGGATTCTATAATTAGGTCAGTGATTCATCACAAAGGCTCTCGATCAGCTCAAAATTCGAAAATTGCTCACTTTTTTCGATTATAAATGGAACAAGAACAGACTGTTTATTGTTTACTTGAAGGAAGAGATGTTTTTTCCGTTATGCCAATGGGGATTGCTTGTCGTGAGGTGTTGGAATAGCAACATTATGACTGGGGTAAACTATAGTAACCTTTACTTGAGTTTAATTAATTTCAAACAGACTTGATACGTTATATGTTCCTCAAGAAAATTATCTTTTGGTTGATGTAGAGATGCAGTTGCATGTAAGCCTATTCGAAAGACTTTGCGATTTACAAGGTTTCGCTGAGAGAGCGAAACTGAAGACGGAATTAAATTGCCGTTTGAAACGAAACGATCTGGACGCTCTGAACGCTCTCTTCTTTTGTAGAGTTCTTTACCAAATGAAATAACTGAAATAAATTTCGTACTTTCCGCCGCCAACAAGAATTGCACACACGATCTGATAAGTGAGACAATTTATTTATAACAATGCCAATGGCGACAGGCTGCCGACAGCGCGAAGCACACATAATATAAATGCTAATGTGGTCGCACGACTTCCCTCACGATTTGAAGTTTGAGACTGGTTTTCTGTTGAAATTCGTCCTAATTTGCCTGTTCCGATTTTAGTTGAAAATGAGCACTTGCAAATTTGGCAATTACTGACTGCGTTGCTTGCTTTTTTGGAGTTAAAACGCTGCAATTTACACATTGTTTATGTTCTGAATAAGCAGAGAAACCCCGCAACATTTTAATGCGAGTTTGTTTGTTAATATTTGGGTGCAGGGTTGCCAGGTGGTCTGAGCCCGAAAGAGCCAAATGCAACGTAAAAAGTAGCCAAATCCGGCCAAAAGAAGCCAAAATCGAAATTTAGAGTAAATCTTCCGAATTCAAGCGTTCAACACCGAAAAACAGTAAAGAAAAAACGAGTATTTTATTATTTTCGTTTTCCCGCCGTTCGGGGCGAACCGTGTAACCCAGGGAGAGGGTACTAATTCCGATCGAATATTTACGTACATCCGGAATCTCGGATAAATGGATAATGTAATCGAACATAGCAGAGTTTATAACTAACTTTTACTGATGGATGGCAGACTATTTTTGAAAAGTTGCTTATTTCAGTATTTATTCAAAAAGAAGCCAAAAAGAGCCAAAAAATAGAAAGAAGCCAAACGAAATTTTTAGTAGCCAAACAAAGTCAAAAGAAGCCAAAATCGAGAAATTTGGCTCTTTTAACGCCAAACTGGCAACCCTGTTTGGGTGCTGTCATTGGTTCTTTTTTGACAATTGACGCGCGAATGGGGCGTGTTATGAAAAGGGGCGTTTTACAAAATACCGGGCCTTGCTTGCAGGCCCACTATCAGTTCCCTTGGGCCTGCACGCGGGCTAAAAATTTTGATGTGTCTTATCTTGCAGTTGCAGTTGCAGTTGAAGTTAGTATATTACGCAATGGCGATTAGGTGACAAAGCAAGATACCTGTATAAACATTGATCATGCATGGAGATTCTGTTTAATTAAGGCTGGTTTACATTATCATACATAGTTTCGGTTATCGCAGTAGGAATTTTGCACAGGTAAATTCTAAGTTTTGAAAGATTTGTTAGAAATGTTTGAGGGAGCTGACTCAGCGTTTAGCAACGAGTCAGTTCCCTCAAACTGTTTATACAAATTCATTAAAACTAATTGGAATTCATTCATGAAAAATTCGTGCTGTGATCACAAAAGTTTCGATAGTGTAAACTACATTTTTTGTCTTGTCCAATCAGTTTCATTGTATTTAACTTTACTTCGTAAAGTTTCATTCTTTAAAAATATCAATTACCATATATGAATAAGGGGCTAAATACAACACTAAAAGAAACAGAGAAAATGGTCTTTAATCAGTGGTTTAGGATAATTGTTTGTCTTAAATTTACAATGTAATTGTAACGGATTTTTCCTTACTTAACGGCTTCCAAATAGCTATGTTGGTGAATTTGTTAGAGCAAATAAATCAACTAAATGCAAAAAAGGTTTTTCTGAAGTATATGTTGCCTCAATAAGTATTCCCAATATTTAGATACATTTTTTATTGAAATCTTTGTATTTTTTTAACCTTTTTTAGCAATCATCACTACAACAGCTACACCAACGTTTGGAGGTATGTATGATTTTTTCACTATGGTTGTGAAGATAGCAAGTCAGGTGAGCAAATGTCTTTTAGTGCACGAGATATCGCTTCTTCACCATACGCACATCTAGAGAGAAACCAAACGGGTTCCATTGAAGATTGCAATGAAATGAGGATCTTGTAAATAATTTTCCAGAATTTCCTTAGCTTTCTAGGGCATATACCCTCCTGTGCCCCACGCCCCTGTTCAACGTGAGAGGTGACTTGATTTCTAGATGCTTATAATCATGACAAGAGAATCAAAAAACAAGTTTGGTATTAATTTTCTTTCTAATTAAAGGTGTTCTTTTTCATTACAGTTTCTCCGGTTTATCATGATCCGAGTTTGTGCTTTACGTTTGGTCAAACCCACTATAAGACATTCGATGGAAAATATTTTTATTATCCTGGAAAGTGTAAATACAGTTTGGTTGAAGATTGTGACGGCAGCGGTAGTGCCATCCAAGTGGCAAATGATCCGAAATGCACCCACCTCACAGACTGCGCACGCTCAGTGCATGTCTATCTTGGAGGAACCATCATTAAGGTAGATACTCAAAACATTATTTTAACTTAGGCCACCTTTACACGATCCCGGGCTGAATTTCAACCGGATTTGTGTTTACGCGAACCTGCGTTTAATACCAGACGTTGAGTTGAAAAGTGTCGCGTGAAGGATAGCTCGGTAAAAGTGATGACATACTGTAAATGCGATGAGGATGAGTTCATGGTGCAGTAACTATAGTAACCGAAATCGCACACCTTTTATTGCGGTATAATTTCAGTATTGAAACGCCTTTATTTGTCCGATAATCTAATATAATTACCAAACCTTAATTCCATGCACATATAAAATGTAAATACTATAATCAACGCAAAATTTCTGCTATAACATTGATGGAATTTATTTAATATTAACTCAATCTGTGTGAAATCTGTCTACAGCATTGTCAATGACGGATTAAAATTATATCATTAATTCATTCTTGAACTGTAAGGGGAAGCCATTCGCATTTTACATTTATTTCTTGATAGACTAATTTGATTCTAACATTTCTAGCTTGAAACTGGCAATGTAACGATTAACGGCAAGTCAGTAACACCACCTTATTTCGAGAATAGCATGGTAATACAGAAAGTTGGAAACTATATTCTACTCTATGGATACGAAGATATAACCATTAGATGGGACGGCCACAATGGAGTGTATGTACACTTGCCACCTGCGAAGAGAAATTCCACATGTGGTCTGTGTGGAAATTTTAACGGTATCCCCGATGATGATCTGAAGACCCCAGATGGAAGGATCACGACATCCATAGCTAGATTTGGCAACAGTTGGAGCAGACCTGACGTAAATGAACAATGTCGAAATATCCCAGAGAGAGAAGTCCAATCCCCATGCAGCAATAAGAGTGAAGCCGAAATGAATAAGATCCGAGGCAAGTGCCAAGTCTTAAATGACCATCCCTTCACTCTCTGCTATGGATCTGTGAACCCTCAAGGTTTTATAGAAATGTGCGTACAGGATGTTTGCTCGTTGAATTCTACGTCAGATCCGGACAGTATATGTGATTCATTGACACAATACGAGAGAGCATGCGCAAAGGCAGGAATAGCAGTGACGTGGAGGAAGAAAGGTCTTTGCCGTAAGTAAACATTTGTGTACAACTACATTTTCACATGTCAAGGTATCACAATTTAATTCTGTTCTTTGTTCAACATTTTACATAAATTTGTAGTATAATGTTTGTTAACTACTTTCACAAAGATTTTTAAAAATGAATAATTGAACCAATAAATGTCGACATAAATATTAAATGTACTGTATAGCCTACTAAAAACATGTTTATGACCGTCCAAACTGAAAACTCGTATTAGACCCCTAACAGTTTATCATATAGATATATAATTGTGGATATATAATTAGTCATCACGTGTACTCTTTTAACATTTGTAGCTGTAAAATGTGAAAATGGTATGGTATATGAACCATGCGGATCAGCCTGTCCAAGCACGTGCGCAGATCACGGTAAGTCGAAATTCCGTTGTCAAAATCAATGTGTGGATGGATGTCATTGTCCTATGGGAACAGTTTTACAAAATGGACGCTGCTACAAATTGGAAGAATGCCCATGTGAACACAATAAAATTTGGCATAGAGCACTCGCAAGAATACCAGTTGACCGTAATGATTGGTAAGTCTGTTAATTGTTCTCTAATGTTTTTCGATTTTAAACATTGTTCTTTTAATAAGGATTCAAACCAACACTTGTATTTGATTCGAATTTTAGTTATTGTACTGAGGGTCGTTGGAAATGCACGAATAGAGTATGTCCGGGTAAGTCGTTATTGATGTTGGAATGTTCTTTGGAAGCTCATAAGATACGTTTTAGAACCATCCTCAGAGATATGAAACACTTGTTTCTTATCTTTAAGCTTCTACTGTAGAAGGCCGGCGCTCTACCCATGGAGCTATCGAGTCAATGAATATTCATTTGGTACATGTAGCCAGTCTTATCGGCCAATTTAAGTTCAGGAAATATTTTCGTGAGCTTGTCTTTGAGGTCGCGCAGTGTTTCAATTCTATGTTTCAAAACCATCCTAGAGATATGAAAAACAAGTCTCATATTATTAGACTGCAGACTGCAGAGAACAACGAAAAAATCATACTAGAAACCGGAAGATTAGGTACTGCAGGAAAATGTGATCCAAACCAACAGTCTTGGTTTATTCCATTTTTTGTCCGGCCAATTTCTAATCGCAAGTTAAAACGATTTAAGGAATGTCAAAAGCCCAGATCATACCTGTTTTTACGCCAATGTTCCGGCTGTATAGTTTGTCACATGTTCTTGGTGAACTTAGGAGCAGAATAATAAATTATCTCGACCGGTCTGTGCCAAGCAGGGCAGGAACGATAAAAAACAGCTGCGGATTGAGAGAGATATATGAAACTACCTGAAAAATACAAGCAGAACGTCGACGTTTCGAGCAAAGGTCCTTGGTCTTATCATTCAGGGGCCGGTTGTTTAAAAAGTGATTAAAGTTAACTATAATTAGTGGAAACGTCATCCAATAAGAAGAGCGTATTTGAGAGTTAATCACTATTTAACTACAAAATAGTGATTAAAAAAGTGATTAAGAGTTTTATACAACCGGCCCCTGTTGTTTTGTTTGCGATTCAGTAGATTTCATATATTTTCTTTGACGTTATTTTCCTTTGACATTTTCAGGCAGATGTTCGGCAATAGGCGACCCACATTACAGAACGTTTGATGGCAAGTACTACTCGTTCATGGGTCATTGTAAATACATTCTTGCTCAAGACTCTGTGGCTAACACATTCTTAGTGATTGTCGATAACTTTCCTTGTGGCACAGACAATTCTCAAGCGTGCACTAAGACCGTAACTGTACATTTCAACACAACTGATGTACATTTAAAAAGAGGCAGCTCAGTAGCAATCAATGGAGAGGACCTGGCAATGTTTCCATATAAGCATCACGGTAAAGTTCACTTACTTTCCTAATTCCTAGTAGTAACAGTAAAGTCTGCGTTCTTGTTGCTCGTTTGGCTACGCAAGTCTGTTAATATAATCTAATAACCGCCTACTCTTTATAAACGTCGGATATCCTATTGCCTCCTAGCCTGCGGGCAGGCTAATTGCCTCCTAGTCAGACGTGAATTTGTAATAGGCGCCCCTCTCCACTAAACACCCGTTATGTAATAAACATTTCTCCTTATATGCAGGTCTTTTTAACATTTAAATGTGATAAAAAACTCATTAATAATTCATGAGGAAAAGACAAAGGAAATTTCCACCGTGTCGGTGGTTCTATATAGGATTAAAAATCATGTTAGTTTACATGAACTTTAGCTTTGATTTTCTCGTCTTCGACAACGTTGATTTTTTAAATTACTTCGCGAATGAACACATAAGATGGGTCGTTTTCAAGCCATTTAAAAAATCGCAGTCCTTGCTTTATAGGACACTCGGCTGTTGCCTCGTGCATGCTCGTGTTTTAAATAGTACTTAAACATAAGAGTAAACCCTTAGCAAATTATTAGTCTCTAAGTATGAGTGTAATGGAGTGAACTAGCTATGAAGTTAAAGCTTGACTTTTGTTATGCTGGGAAGTATTGTTTAGGAAGACTAAAACTACCGTATGTAAGTATAAACGCCCCTCTCTATCAACTTTCCGGGTCCAAGTCGGGTAATAAAAGGCACTTTTCGGGTGAATTACTTCTAGGAAAACGCCAGTGGTCAGTCGGCTTAAATAACAAATGCCTTGGGTGTATTACCATTTTACAGGTATCGTCGTGGACAGATCATCGTCCCTTATGACACGTGTCACATCCGACATAGGTGTCGAAGTAACATGGGATGGCATTAGCCGTGTCTATGTCACGGTTCAAAGCTACTGGAGCGGCAAAACTAGAGGTCTTTGTGGGAACTTCAATAAAAACCAAGACGACGACTTCACTACTAGTGAAAAAATCATAGAAACTGATGTTGCATTGTTTGGTGAATCTTGGAAGCTTGACCCTGGTTGTAAATCGGTTGCTAAAGATCTAACCCATCCATGCACTGTTCAAGTTCAACGAGCAAGTGAAGCGGAAAGAATGTGTAACATATTGAAACGAAATCCATTCACCAAGTGTCATCATGTGGTTAACCCTGATGAAGGGTACCTCCATAGCTGTACATATGATGTGTGTGGGTGTCAGGATGGCACTAAGTGTTTGTGTTCTGCCATTGCTCGTATACCATGATTGCGCAAGACATGGTGTGGAAATTGAATGGAGAAATCCTTCTGTTTTGCCTGAATGCAGTAAGTGTTAAAGCGATTAAAATAGTAGTTAGAGGATATTTAAACATTGTTTTTAATTATATTTGAAGTAACTGTAACAGTGAGGTACCCCAACTATGACAATAACATTTTTGTCTCGCATTCTTGGTAATTAACTGCATTTTTAATCGCCCTAAGTTAATATAAAGTTCCGTTGTTACACGAAGTAGCACCTAAAATAAAAATGTTCTTGACGGTATGATAATCAATAAATCAGTGTTTTAATTATGGTAAATTATGTGAACGTTTTTTTGCATCATCAGTAGCATACAGTATTTCACAAGAAGGTTATGCCCTCAGATATTTCAAAGTTTGATATCAATAAGTAAATGAAATACGAAAATGGCATAAGTTGATAATTTCAGAGTTTCTTGAACATTCTAATTCTCTGAATTTCGTTATGTCGATTGCACTTTATTAATACATCTTCTGTGTCTCAAGGTATTCATTGCGGAATTGCTGATCAAAGTTATCGCGAGTGTGGCTCATCTTGTTACAAGAAATGTCGAGATCTTTCAATGAATACAGACTGTAGTGACGAATGCTCTGCTGGATGTTTCTGCCCTAAAGGTTCAATATTAAACGATGACGATATCTGTATCCCAATATTTGAATGTTCATGTTACTACGAGGGAAAAGAATACAAACCAAACTCTGTTATAACGCGAAACCGTTGTACCCAATGGTGAGTAACGGTATACATTATTTTTAAAATAATCGTTTTCTCAACAAACTTTGCATAAATGCTGCAATAGTAAAAAAATGAATGGGTAGATGGGATTTAGTGAACAGTGGGATTTTCTTAACGACAATCGATGAAACAACAATGTAACATTCGGTCACTGAATGTGACCGGATGTGATGTCACGTGCACGTATATTTTGTGACATTAGTGTGATGTGACTTTATTACCTTCTTGCAGTAAATGTGTTAACGGCGTTATGGAGTGCAATAACAGTACATGTTCGGGTATGTGATTTTAACTAACAGCACTGATAATTTTGAATACCCATATATGATTTGGATTAGCCATTTCCCAATGGAGCAGAGGATTGGGTCTAGTTGATGTTTGGAGGGACGTTCTGATAGTGAGCGAGCTAAGTATATATTATAAAGATGCCTTATTATAATTGTTGCGTTTCAGGCTGCACAAATAACTTTAGGAATGTAGGAAAACGTCCTAGATGCCATATTCGGCATATTGTTTATTTTTTGTCCCTCTAAACAAGCGATTAGACCCAGACCTCTGCTCGATTGGGAAGTGGCTAATTGTACTCATCTAAATGGGCACCACCAGATATTAGACTAATCCCCACCAGGTACAAGTCAAACTGTTCCTCCTTAAGATTGCTTGAGACTAATCCTAGACCATATAAACCCATCTAAGTATATATTCCTTCAAGTATTCAATTTGGCAGGGTTTTCAATGCCATAATTACGTTAGGTTTTTCATCTAGTTTCGATAAAACGTTAGTCAAAGCTAATGGGAATTTAGAAATTTGTCTTCAAACTGCAGTACTAATAAGAAAATACAGGTCTTGATGATATTTCAGATAAAGTATGTCCTAAAGGCCAAGCTTATGTAACGTGTGGCAAGGAATGTGCTAAAACTTGCAGTAACCTTCATTTACCATGCTCAAAAAAGTCGTGTGAAGATGGCTGTGTCTGTCCAGAAGGTCAAGTGCTTCATAATGGAGAATGTGTTTCTCCTGATCAGTGCCCATGTCATCGTGGTGGCCGAAGTTATAAAAACGGTGAAACATATCAACAAGACTGCAATACATGGTATGTAGTGCGAACTTGTGCTGTTTTTAACTTAAGCATTTGTAGAATGGCATTTAAAAAATTTTATTTGTCTATGATGAAAACTTTTGCATAATAACGTGAACATGCAACAACAATAAAAAACAGTAACAGTTTTATTGACTGGTGATAAATACAACACTACCCAGAAGTCAACAGTCGTTGTCTTTCCTCGAGGCCCAGCCGCGGTGTAGCCTGACAAAGTCCGCGGGCTGCCTGGAGGCCGGCCAAATAATCAAAATTCCCAGAGTAAGACGAAAATAATACGACTTTGTCTGCACGACGAACTCATGTATGAGATATACGGCAGGTATACGTACAGCATTGTCATACCCAAACGTTGTTAAAATTTGTTTGTATTGGAGTTCTTCAAATTTCATGGCAAATATATTGGCATGCAAATTTTCACTGTCGAAGACCACAACTGTTCTGTGTATGGGTATGGTTAATCATGTTGTTCATTGCTGGAACTGCACTTTAATTTTTTTATTACATTTTTTCCATTTCGTAGCACTTGTACTGGCAAAAATTGGCGTTGTACACAAAATCAGTGTCCAAAAAGTTGTTCTGTCTACGGTGATTCACATTATACGACGTTTGACAACAAACGGTATCAATTCCATGGAGCTTGCGACTATACATTGATTCAAGATGGATGTGGTAGTCAATCAGACTCGTTCCGTGTCCAGGCTGAGAATATACCTTGTGGTAGCACTGGAGTAACGTGTACCAAGTCCATAACTATTACTATAAACGATACACAGATAAATATGGTCAGAGGAAGTGAACCAACGGTTAGCTCTGTTCCTGGTTCATCACAGTCTGTACAACAAGCAGATTTCACATTGCAGAAAAGTGGACTGTTTCAACTTCTTCGTACAAAGATAGGAATAACAATTGTATGGGACATTGGAACAAGAGTATATATCACATTAGATACGAGTTATCGAGGTTTGTGCTAACATTTGAATTAATCTTGATTACCAAAAGTAGCAAAACAGTCTAAACATCACTGAGTTTACTATATGACATGTATAGGCTTCCCTTACTTTGTTCCACTGTGCCTTACATCGATCCTTAATTAGTAACTAGCCAAACATCGGCCAGCACAAAACTTGTGCTCATTTACGGTAGGTTCTGTCAAGGAACTACATTGTAGTGACTGTATAGTAACTTAATAATTAACTTGAACGGTCTGTGACAAGCTTGTAACAAGCTTTCGTTGGTAAGGATGCAACTACCTAAAAAATACATAGAGGATAATACACGGCGGCCCGAAGATATGACTTTTATCTTCGAGTTGTGAAAACAATATTTTACGAACGAGCGCATGCAGCGAGTAAGTAAAATATTGTTTTTAACACGAGAAGATAAAAGACATATCTTCAAGCCACCGTGTAATGTTCTGTTTATTATACAGCCCCAAGAAAAAATTGTGAAATTACACGCTCAAAAGCAAATTGGAAAAGTCACGTGATCGATATCCTTCACTAGTGCAGATATGGAAAATTTCTCACTGTGTATTTTTCAGTATCTCACTCTGTACTATATAATAGAAAACAAAATTTGGCCTTTCGAGCTTTGTATTTTTTCAGGTATACTGTAGTTGCATTCCTATACCAACAAAAGCTTGTTGCTGTACAGTAACCATTAAAGTGGACTAGATTTGGAGTTCTGAAAACAATGACCACCATGCACATTGTAGCATTCTTAGTCCTCTTGTTTTAAGATGGAAACGTCATAACCTACTCGCAGTTAGAATTTGTTTCGAACTTCTCTTAGAGTAATTTCTATTTGCAAGAACTCCGAAAACGTCATGAACATTTTAGGAAAGATTTGTGGCCTTTGCGGGAATTATAATGATGACCAGAACGATGATTTTACCAGTCCTTCCGGATCAATTGAAGTCTCACCCAGTGATTTTGGTGACACTTGGAGGGTCAAACCATTCTGTGCTGACGCTAAAACACCAAAACATCCATGTAAAATACACAGAGAACGAGCAGGGTGGTCGAAGAAAACATGTGGAATCATTAAGCAAGATGTTTTCAAACCCTGCCATGATGTGGTAAGAGATATTTTAACACTGTCAGTGCAAATTAGAATCTCAGTTATAATGGAATATTTTCGCCAGAGCATCCAATAGCTATGTTTTCATTTAAACATTGTGCAATATCACGACTGGCAATTAAACCAACACACTACTATTGGTTGGTTGGGCGAAAAAACAATGCACATGCACGTGACTATGAACAAACCATTACTTGCATAAACCAAAACCAAAACACAGATAATGAGGTCTATATTTCTAATTTTCTTATTCTACCGACTATGATGAATATTACAATCATAATACGGATATTCTCTGAGATTGCTATTCTTTTTCCAATAGGTTAATCCTGAACGGTATTTCCAAGCATGCTATTATGATGCTTGCGGCTGTACACAGGTGGTGATTGTGAATGTATGTGTACAGCCATTGCTGCTTTGCCAGAGAATGTAATCGACATGGTGTACATATCAAATGGAGATCACAAGAACTTTGTGGTAAGTTTAATTTTTTCAATATTAACACATTGATGGTATAATTATGCAAAGAGTTGTTTCTCGAAACAACTCATGAGATTTTCCATTAATGAGGCAATTATATCAGTTCGTGCATAGTAAACGTTAGTGCGTTTCGTGTTTTATTGCATCATAATGGATTTTTAAACCATTACTGCAAAAACTCTACCCTTGACGAGTAAATCGTCTTGTATTAGACAGAATAACATAATAAAATCAGGTACATTGGGTGCATTGCAGCATAAGACGCATAATGCATTGGTCAATAGTAATCAAACAAAATGCCCAGAATGTCATTTTCATTTAAAGTATTGTGAAAGTAGCTCCCAACTGAGCAGGATAATGATTATGTTTTTAATGACGTGAAAAATGAAAGATATAATTATGGTGCTTCAGCATAACCAAATGTTTTAATAAATATGTCTAAATATATCACTATAGTTAGATTGGTAAACATATAAGAGGTCGATGGAATGCATGTCTTTGGGAGTTTTGGGAAACACAACTTTCATATTTTATCGGTAAACCGAAAAGTCAAAGATGATCGGCATGGCATTGTATTGACCATCTTCATCTCTTTTCTTCTTCCTCTCCTTGAAAATGACTGTCCCAGCCACCTATCTTATAGGCACCTTCCTCTCTAAAATTCATAGCATCATCCAGGTTTGTTTCTTCTTCAACTCATCCTTTGTCTCCCAACTGTTCTCATTGTTTCCTGTTGGGTATCTCCACACTAACGTGACTGTATCGTCTTTCTTTTCAATAAGCAGACAATTTCATAATAATGACGAGTACTTATTCGTCGGTTTGTATAGTGATCCATATTATTATATTTCCAATGATGACTATCTTTGCTTGGAGATCAAAATATACGCCAAGCCAATATGCGTAGGTTGTCTTCAAAAACTAAATGAAGTAATAGCTTGAAATCTAAGCGGACAATGTAATCTATTGTAAATAAGTAGTTTTCATGGTTAACTACCAAATTTGGTAAGTTTCTATATGATTATGTTTTCTATTACTAATGCAAGGCAATGTTTTGATTAAACAGCTGTGCAGTGTGAAGGAGGAAAGATCTACAAGCCATGTGGTCCAGCATGTGCAAACACGTGCTCAAGTTCTTGTGATCAAAATTCAGTTTGTCCTGTGGATTGTGTCGAAGGTTGCCACTGTCCTGAAGGCACAGTGGAGCACAATGGAAAATGCATACAGCAGGAAAACTGCCCGTGCATCGTTGGTGGGAAAGCGTATAATGCCACTGCATTTGTTATTAAGAATTGTCAGAGATGGTAATTAATATTTGTTTATTTCATGCAGTAATATGGCATATTCATGAAAACAGTGCCGTATATTTATACGCATTTCTTCAATTAATACATATTGAGAAATACATGTCAAAGAATGACTACACTGAGTAACATAATTGAGTATGTTGCTTCCTGGTATTCTGGTATTCTAATAAAAAACGGTTAACATAACTATTAAGAGATATAAAATTCCTTTTTCAAATGCTTTGTGAAAAAGATGATTTAATCATTCTCATTCCAGCGTCTGTAGAAATGGTTGCCTTAGCTGCACTGGTCCAACATGTACCACAGCAGGTAAGATATTTTGTCAATATGAGTCACTATACATCAAAGTCTAAACTGCACTGTTAACTAGTATTTAATAAATATTGCTGAAACCTATCATTTGTTTATATAAAACTATAGATTTCGAGCAGATGCGTGTAACTAATGTCACTGCCACCTGATCAGTCGATCAATCTGTTTAATGTTTCACTTTTATACAACTATTTGTTTAATAGTTCCTTCCACAACTCCAGTTCTACAACAAGCAGTACAACGGGCTCAACCACTCTAACTAGTATAGCACCAAGTACAACCGGCTCAACAATTCCACCTAGTACAACACCAAGTACAACTGGCCCAACAACTCCAGCTAGTACAACACCAAGTACCACTGGCTCAACCACTTCTTATACTGCTTCAAGCACCAAACCGCCTGTGAAACCAGAGAGCACCACTGCTTCAACTCCAACTGTAAGTACCACTGGATCAACCACTCCTTATTCAGCTTCAAGCACCAAACCGCCTGTGAAACCAGAAAGTACCACTGCTTCAACTCCAACTGTAAGTACCACTGAATCAACCACTCCTTATTCAGCTTCAAGCACCAAACCGCCTGTGAAACCAGAAAGTACCACTGCTTCAACTCCAACTGTAAGTACCACTGGATCAACGACTCCTTATTCAGCTTCAAGCACCAAACCACCTGTGAAACCAGAGGGTACCACTGCTTCAACTCCAACTGTAAGTACCACAGAATCAACCACTCTTTATTCAGCTTCAAGCACCAAACCGCCTGTGAAACCAGAAAGTACCACTGCTTCAACTCCAACTATAAGTACCACTGGATCAACGACTCCTTATTCAGCTTCAAGCACCAAACCACCTGTGAGACCAGAGATTACCACTGCTTCAACTCCAACTGTAAGTACCACTGGATCAACGACTCCTTATTCAGCTTCAAGCACCAAACCACCTGTGAAACCAGAGAGTACCACTGCTTCAACTCCAACTGTAAGTACCACTGGATCAACGACTCCTTATTCAGCTTCAAGCACCAAACCACCTGTGAAACCAGAGAGTACCACTGCTTCAACTTCAACTGTAAGTACCACTGGATCAACCACTCCTTATTCAGTTTCAAGCACCAAACCACCTGTGAAACCAGAGAGTACCACTGCTTCAACTCCAACTGTAAGTACCACTGGATCAACCACTCCTTATTCAGCTTCACCTTCAAGCACCAAACCGCCTGTGAAACCAGAGAGCACCACTGCTTCAACCTCAACTGTAAGTACCACTGGATCAACCACTCCTTATTCGGTTTCAAGCACCAAACCACCTGTGAAACCAGAAAGTACCACTGCTTCAACCACCACTCCAACTGTAAGTACCACTGGCTCAAAACCTACGCCAGTAACACCAACAACATGTCCGAAGAAATGCGGACCAAACTTCCTCTGTCTTATTGTAAACTTGAGTTACGCCGAAGCTTGGTTTCCATTAAATCGTAATTATCGCAAAAACCGCATCGCAAGCGTCGCAACGATTTTAAAAGCGCGAAATTTTTAATAAAAACTGCGATTTATTGGAAACTTGAGTCACGCCAATAACTAAGACTCTTACGACAACGTCGCAAAGATTACTGCGATTTTTGCGATACGGAATTTCCGTTGTTTTCAAACCACTGCCTTGCAAGCTAATCTTTAATTTACTTACCTTATTTTCAGGCATTTTTTACCTATAGTGCCGTGGCTGCTAAATTACTCTAACAGTATGCATATTGATGAACGTTTCGCAGCTATCATGCAATTCCCATCCGCGACTCTACACAAACATATTTTTTGCTTAGCGTTATGCAGGGCCGCGCAGAGGGGGGGGGGCAAAGGGGGCAAATTGCCCCGCGCCCCGAGTTGCTGGGGGCCCCTGAAAAATTTTTGTTGTGCCCCAGCCTTTTTTGTGTGTTAAATATTTCCGCGCAAAGGACAAAATACCGAATTTTGGCATAGAAAACTGAGATAAAGTCCCTCGAAAGCAATAGCAACGTACTCGTCCGGAAAAATTTTGTAATCCGGAAAAAAATTTTTACCCCTAAAATGGTACACTGACCGAAAAAGTTTTGGCGACGGGGGGGGGGGAGGAGGTTGTTGTCCGGAAAAAAAATGTTCCGGGAAAATTTTTTTAGATAGGGCCCCTAAAAAAAAATTTGCCCCGGGCCCCCGCCAACCTCTGGGCGGCCCTGGAGTTATGACACCTAAATGACTCTAACAGAGCACGATGTCGGTCTCATAACTATTATATGCAATTTTTGTCAGGTTTGTGATGGTAGTGACGACTGTGGTGGGACAGATGAAATAAATTGTACTAAAACTACTGCAAGACCACCAAACATTACAACAACAGCAATAACGCCATCATCATCTCCGACTCCAACGACTCCTTGTCCTAGTGACATGGTAAGAAACAATACATCATATTATTATTATTATTATTATTAACTCCTATTATAAGAACGGTAACCCTTCAACACTCCTAGGTAGTTGATTTCCAAGGGGCCGTTTAAAATATTTACAAAATACTAAAAAGTTAAAAATAACATTATTTACATCACAAAAACATAATTAGGATTTAACATGCAAGAAATGTTGTCAAAAAGAAAGATATTTACAGAATAATACAAAGTAACTTAATTAAAATGCAGGAAATATCAAATATAGAAAAATATTTACAGAAGAGAATCACGTATTATTTGCGGTCGAGAGCAGCCTTAAATTGTCCAATTGTCATATTTGTTGCTTTTGTATTATTTGACGTTTTAATATTTTGACTCTAATATTTGACTGTCAGTTTTATACTGTTTTAATATTGTCTACTACGTAAATAAATTCTGAAACATAACCTTTTTGTCGATTAGTAAAAGTTGTGATAATTAATAAAATGAACGGGTGTACTGTATCTGATAATTAAAGAGAAAATAAATGATTAACAATTATCAATGAGCTTTAAAGTTTGTGAGTTCACCGCAACCAGGTATAATATGAGTCATGTTTTCGCTCGCGCTACTCTAAATGAATGAAACGCCCAGTCGAATTGCATTACCGACCCGACGTTTCTACATCAGGGATGATTTATATACCAATTATTAATGAGGTCCAACATACATATAAAATATTGGAGTCCTATACTCTGTAGAATTTGATAGGTAACTCCCAAGATACATTTAAAGCTTCCTTCTAACATTCATTTTGCTTAATATTCTTTCTACTGTTTTATTATTATTTATTGTAGGTTTTTACAGATTGCCGTCCCAAATGTATTTCCTCGTGTCAATATATGGGTGCTTGCCAGTCTAACGATTACCAACCTCCGAGTAACAAAGACCTCTGCAAACCAGGATGCGTTTGTCCAAGTAATACAGTCCATAATGGAAGTCATTGCGTTCGGCCAGTGGAATGTCCTTGCAAACATAACGGTTCCTACATTGAGCCACTCAAATCCTGGACAAGTGGATGTGATATATGTTCTGCTGGAATAACAGTGTCACTTGTGAGCCTAAACCTTGTCCAACTATCGGAAATTGTTTCCCACCATTATTCAAAATTGTGATGAAAAATTGTTGCCCCAAGTGCATCGAGTATGTACAACCCCCTCCTGTCACACCATTCTGTCCGAGTAATGAGTATAAATGCTCGAGCGGGAAATGTATTTTGAAGAGCTGGTTTTGCGACAAAGAACAGGATTGTCCTAGTGGCGAGGATGAAGTTAACTGTACAAATATTACTCCTTCTTGTCAGGATTCCCTTGGAGTTGGTAAGTCCTAGCCTATATAAAGTATAAGTGTTAATTGTTTCGTTTTTTATGAAAGAAACTGCCTCATTCGGTAAACATTATTTGCAATTAATTGAAAACCTTATAAAAAAATCAAGTTGGCTTTCTTTCAGTTTTTTTTTAATACATTAGTTTTGATTCGTTTCTTATGTCGGCTAAACATGTTTTGTGCAGTTTTGTTTTTGGTTTGTTTGCTGTAAATTTTCAACATGTATACTTTCAGTGCGATACTCCGAGTGACCAGCACCTACTAGGCTGGTAAGCTCAAAATTGCTTGACTGCTGTGAGTATATCGTCCCCGGGACCTTTGTTTTACGAATCCAACAATCATTAGTCTTGCCTTGGTTTTGTTTTCTTGTGCTTTTGTTTTTTCTTGATTCTACTTTACTTTCCCTCAGCGAGCTGTTTTTCTTTGTTGTATATTCGAGTTCAACTTATGTATTTCTCATATTGATTCATTCGTTTATTGTTAGAACGAAATGGTGCCATTCCTGATGAGAACTTCGCATCATCATCAATATTCATGAATAACAGGTTTTGGAGTGCCAGCGAGGGTCGCCTCAACAATACTCATATTCTCAACAAAGGTTCAGGTGTATGGTGTGCTTCCAGTGATGATAAGACACCTTGGTTAAGCGTGAAATTGCTAGAAACTGCGCAAGTGACACGGATTGCTATTCAAGGATCACCGAAAATCTATGCAAAACTGGTGAAAAAGTACAAGATAAGCTACAGTATGGACGGTAAAAATTGGATTTTTTATCAAGAAAACGGTGAAGAGCATGTAAGTAACCAATGACTAAATACTCTCCCACACACAACGCTATATACATCGATAGCACTAGTAAGCAAACGGAAACTGGGGGTTTAACTCTTGGTTTGACCGTTGAGCTTCCTAACTGATCATGATTGGTACATTGGTCTATTAGACCCATTTTTATGGCCGTTCAAAGCAAGGGGTCATCATGTCTGCCAGTGGCGTAGTAAACTCGATAATTGGGGGGGGGGGGAATATTCATATATTCGTGTTCACAGACCTTAAAAACAATTGATTTCAATTAGCCCCCCCCCGCCAATTATCGAGTTTGGTACGCCACTGATGTCCACCGATATGCAACGTAACTATCACAAGAATTTAATGATCGATTGGGAGAACCAGCAGACATTTAACCTAGTATCAAAATTTATCACTTAGGTTAGTGAATATTCGATGCCCGACATGTCTATTGTATTTGGGACATCCTGTAGTATATTATTTCTGACCATTATTCCTTGTAGATATATAATTGGTCTTACTTTTGCTAAAACATTGTATTTCCTATCATGATCTTCAGGCCCACAGAGCTTCATTAGCTATTATTCTCACTGTTAAAGATCCCGGCACAGCTTTCCCAAATCATGTGATGATTTCACCGAAGCAAGTCAATTCTGTTTATTGCTTGAGTTCATACGTACTGCATTTCACTGTCCTCATTATGGGAATGAATTATACGTTTAGATTTTCAATGGAAGTGTTTATGCCAGCGTAACGACATATAATAAAATACGTCATCCATTTGTGGCTCTTTACGTTAAAATTTTGCCAGTTGAATGGGGATCAAATCCTTGTTTACGACTTGGCTTATTTGGATGTGCATTCGAAGTGACAACAACGCCAGCACCAACAACCATACCTACAACTCCAGAGAAGTGTAAAGAGTTTGAATGTGATAATGGTAAGAAAACATTTTAAACCAATCCAGTGGCGAATTACCCAGTGGGCTGAGTAGACTGAATCCTACAGGCGCAAGCCTTCACGAGGCCCGTGATTTTCAGATAATGCACTTTTTATTAAAATTACTATATTTTTGTCCTTAGTTAAGCAATGAGATATTGGTATGCTTAGTAGCCAAATCCAAAAGCTATAAGTTCCTTGGGTGTTGACCTTTACCGTAGCGTCTACACGCAATTTAACTGTGCAATGTTCAACACTCATGAAGTACAGCATAATAATTCGTGGATATTTTCGCAGACATTCTCAATCAAAATAAAGGAACGGGAGGAGCGCAAACGTCGACAAGATTGGCGTAGTAGTGGTGCCATCAAATCATGATTCAAAAATCAGAATCATTCCACAAATTGCATTTTCATAGTTTCACGGTCTTCTCCCAAGTACTCATTGTTCGACTTATTTTAATTTTTCTGGAAAAGACCTTTTATCTTTTTATAGGAAAGTGTATCAACAGAAAATACGTCTGTGATAAGTATGATGACTGTGGTGACAATTCTGATGAAGGAAACGACTGTCCTATATGTCGTCCTACTCAGTTCCAATGTAAAAATGGCAAATGTACTAGCAAACAGAATGTGTGTGATGGAGTCAATGACTGCGGGGATAATTCCGATGAATACCAGAACTGTACATGTTATGAGTTTACTTGTAGTAATAAGACGTGTATAACCTTCAGGTTAGTCTTCTTTAAATGCATATATGACATGAAAGTGTTTATTTTTTATCTTGTTTCTATGTTTCCTTGTTGGGACATTTCATTTCGTCTAATAATGCAATGCAACCAACGTGGTGTCATATTGATGTCATTTACATCTGATGAGATATCAGTGAAGATTCATACCTCGTTTCATCAATCAAAATTATTTAAAGTGCGATACTAATGAGATAGCTCAGTTTTTCAAACTGACTTAGCTTGTTTATTTCTTGAGATATTTAACAATGTTTGATACACAAATTGCCCTATGACGTCAAATGCATAATCGTTTTATGAAAAACGTTTACAACCCTTATCGATAATTGATTCAAATTTGTTGACGTACAACATATCTTTGTAGATCGACCAGCAGTTCATAACACAAAATGTACGGTTTTATAATTTCGACCCAAGATATCCCGAGATCTGGAAATATTTTCAGAAATTGTATATAAAAAATTGTTAGTCGAAAACTATTAAGCAAGTTGAAAGAGTTTAACAAAGTATCTTATGTGGTCATTTTGTTTTTTTACAATGCAATCATAAAAAATGGCGTGAAATTTCGTTGCATAGCACTTGAAAGTCTGATATCTTTGTGAGTATTTAATAAAATTCAATGAAACTTGGTACATTAGTGGGTGCACCCATATAAACATTTTTGCTAGGTCATGTAGTTGTCATGGTAATATTTACTAATCTATGTAGTAATCCTCAATCTCTTTCCTTACTTTTCACAAATTTCTTCAAATTTCAACTTACGTTTCTAAGCACTTTAATGCAAACTAAGAAGTAAAACATTCACTGAAAATATTCATATTAAATTATGATACTACTTTATTAAAATCTTTTGTGAAATTAATTAGCGATATTAATAATTATTTTATTACAACGACGTTTTGATGCTTCTTGCATCATTTTCAGTTAAAGATAAGAATTATTCGTGTTTATGTGTTTAGCTTTAATTATAAAGGTTCACGTGTTCGTGTCACGTAAACAAATCATTTGCGCAAGCAGGCAAAATATTTTACTAAATGCACAAGACAAAAAAATACAAAAATATTAAAAACATTTAGCTATTTACACATAAGACAAGCACAACAAACAAGATTAACAAATTAATATTAAGCAAATAGCTTAGAACGTATCGAGTCAGACTGAGTGTTCAAAGATGGCTTCAGTTCCCTACAGAGGCGTAGCCAGGGCTACCCCCCTGGCAAAAGTCCCCCCCCCTGATAAAATGTATTGTATAAAAAGGGAATGCTTGATTATATAGCTTCATGCTGTCAATGATGCAAACATTCTGTAGAATATATGCTTTGCTGCGCATCGGTGTGAAACCTAAAATCTTGTTCGCTTATTTGCAGCACACAACTTGAAACACATACCTTTTCTAACCCTAAATATTAATATGTATTAAATGAGGGTTAGATGAAGTTTAAACTAATCTGGCTTTTTTACCAGTGAATTTTTAACGCGGGCTCGGTGAAAAATCACATGTGTCGATAATTAATTTTACCCAGCACTGCACAGAATGCCTTGCGCGAACTTTGCGTCTCGAGCCACTGGCGGCTTGGCCCCACCTGGGTTTTTGCTGCCCTCCCCCCTGACCAAAAATTCTGGCTACGCCTCTGGTTCCCTAATGTAAAGCATCTCGTAGAGTAGGCACTCATACTTCCCTCGACACTTGAGCAGAATTGAAAAGCAGTTTTCAGAATTGAAAAGCAGTTTTTTAATGCGCCCGTGGGTGGCTGCAAAATATTTTAGCTCCTCAGTTTTTAAAGATTCCGTCGTTTATTTACTATTTGTCGGTTGGATTTAACTGATACTTAACTGATACGAGAAGAATTTGTCTTAATGCCTCACAACATGCTGGTTTATTCGAGAAATATACTTATTTCGATCTCAAATCTTGGCAAGTTGACGTATAATCGTTTAACGGGACATGGATCAGTGAATCGGCAGCTATCAAGCGAAGTCTTGAAAAAACTTAAGTTCTACGGTATATTGAACCTTGTAAGAGGTCAACGAGGAGGTAATCATTAGTATAGAACCGGTTGCACGACGTAAAGGACATGTTTTATCAAAGCAATACGGTGTAAACCGAACGAACTTATTACATATTCAAGTTTCGGCTACAAGAACAATTAACGGCACTGAAGCTGAACAAAACCATAATAGCTATTATTCCAAAATGGAAAAAAAAATGTTTCCCCGGTTTAGTTTGATGAATGTTCGCTCATTATTACCGAAGATCGATGAACTCTCCGCGCGCATATCTTTCCAACCTACAAATGTTATAGCTATTACAGAGTCTTGGTTAAGTGAGGACATTGATGATAATTTACTCTCTATCGAAGGTTTTAACATCTACCGAAAGGACAGAGCCTTTGGTCGAGGTGGCGGTGTTTGCGTTTATATATCATCCGATATCCCCAGTAAAAGAAGGCTAGATCTTGAAAATGCAGCGTTTGAATGCTTGTGGATCTGGCTTCGCCCAACTCGCCTTCCTCGCCCTTTGTCAGGCATAATTTTGGGAGTTGTTTACAGTCCCCCGGGTATTTCCGCGCAGGAAGGGTCAGACTTAATAGAACATATCATTGACAGTTTAGACCAGATTTGTTCAGCATTTCCGGACTGTGGCATTGTAATCACTGGAGACTTCAACATGTTAAACATTGCTGACCTCCTTTCCAGTCACAACCTAAAACAAGTAGTTCGGGAACCAACGCGTGGCAATAACATCTTGGACTTAATAATAACCAATATGTCCCACTTCTACAGCACTCCTACGGTAACTGCACCTTTGGGCAGATCTGATCATCATGTTATCAATTGGAGTAGAAATACCGACAGTGCTGCTTGTTTGATAAAGAAAGGAATAACAAAACGTAAGGTGCGTCGCTTTACCCAGTCATCGTGTGCGGCGTTTGGAAGATGGTGCAGTGACCACGTATGGTTTTCTGATGTTCAGCATCCCGATTCTGCCACCGCTTTGGCTTCTTCTTTAACATCTGAACTTAGCTCCGCCATTGACCTCTTTTTCCCTACCAAAACCATTAAGATTCATGCAACTGACAAACCATGGATGACGCCAATGTTGAAACAGTTGATTATCCAAAGACAGCGTGCATTCCACAGCGGCGACCGTGCAGTTTGGTTACATCATAGGGATAAGGTACAAAGAGAAATTTCATCACAAAAGCATACGTATTACGCCAGGAAGATTCAAAATCTAAAAAATAGCAACCCAAGGCAATGGTGGAACTACATTAAACAGATCACCGGTAAGGAAAAGTCAACGCCTAATTTTGACATTACCAGCGATGGGGTACCAATGTCCGATCTTGAGTTGTGTGGTAAACTAAATGAGCACTTTTTATCAGCCAGCGCTGACCTTCCTCCTCTCGACCTTGGTACTTTGCCTGCGTACCTTCCAGCTCCCGAACCCCCACCATCTATCTCAATCGCACAGGTCTGTTTTAAACTGCTCAAAATAAAGGCATTTAAATCCAACGGCCCTGATTGTATTCCTAATCGAGTGCTTAGTCAATATGCTCAAGAGTTAGCTGATCCGGTGGCCAAAATCTTCAACAAGTCTTTATTGCACTCTGAATTCCCTATACCTTGGAAAGATGCTAACATCGTCCCAATCCCGAAAGCCCAACCGATAACGTGTGAGGATGAAACCCGTCCAATTGCCCTCACTGCCACTCTGTCAAAAGTTTTGGAAGACTTCGTTGTTACCTGGATGATTGATGATGTCAAAGACAAAATCGATCCGAAGCAATTTGGTAGCTTAAGGGGATCTTCTACAACATTCTCCCTTATTGATATGATTAACAACTGGTTGCAGGCACTGGATAGCCCAAAACGGTATCTACGTATTTGTTTTTTGGATTTCTCCAAAGCTTTTGACAGAATCAACCAATAACATTTTGATTGCGAAACTCATAGCCCTTGGAGTAAGAAGATGTTTGATCCCATGGATATGTGATTTTCTTTCAAATCGTCGTCAGGCAGTGAAAATTAATGAGTCTCGCTCGGAGTGGGCTTATGTAAATGGCGGTGTCCCTCAAGGAACAAAACTTGGCCCTATCTTGTTCTTAGTTATGATTAATGATCTGAAAATGAAGTCCCTAAACTCCTCCATTGGAAATACGTTGACGATGTAACGATTTCCGAGGTTATAAAAGAAACTGAGGAATCGCGATTACAAACTGAACTCAATGAACTCCAACAATGGGCATGTGAGAATGATATGAAACTGAATGGGTTGAAATGCAAGGAAATGGTTGTCAGCTTTTTACGACAAAGTGATAACTATACTCCATTACACATTAATGATCAACAATTGGAACTGGTTACATCTTTCAAGATTTTGGGTTTGACTATTAATAATCACCTTAAATGGAATGATAACGTTGCAATTATCGTAAAAAAAGCGTCGAAACGCCTCTTCGGGTGTTGCGTCGATCTGGAATTCCACCCACTGACTTGCTCTCAATCTATAACGCCTTAATCAGATCTGTTTTGGAATATGCTTGTGCAGTCTGGCATACCAGCCTACCTCAGTATCTTTCCAACAAAATTGAACGGGTGCAGAAACGTGCTCTGCGAATTCTGTACCCTTTCACTGATTATGCGGAAGCCCTATCTATCAGTCGTTGTTCTCGCCTTGATGATAGAAGGCAGTCAATATGTCAGAATACCTTACAAAAGATTGCTAATCCTTGCTCGAAACTGTACCACTTGTTGCCGTCAACTCGTGGAAACGTCCATGGACGGAGTTTGAGAAATAATAATCAATTATCGCTTCCCAAATGTAGAACTGAGAGGTTTAAGAACAGTTTTATCCCGGCAATGTGCTATAGTCAAGTTGACGTATAGGCCTTTATGGTCTTAATTTGTATATTAGGTTTTAACATTTATATTAGATATAGTAATTAATATTCTAGCATTTTTGTAAATTTTAGTATATTTCCATGTAAGCATATTGTAATTCATTTTCAATGCGATAATATGCAAATAAACCATTAATAATTAATAATAATCCTCGATGTACTCTAGTTTCCATGATGATTACGCATATGGATTCCTACCACTGATCCCTTGTGTTCATCAATGCGTTGATGCCTATAGGTGTCGACAAGTATAGCCAACATATAATCCGCATCGCACAGATCACATTTAAATTTAATTAAAGCTAAAAACGAATGATTTTTATCTTTAACTTGAAAATGATGCAAGAAGCATCGAAACGTCGTTGTAATAAAATAAAATATCCCTATCATTTGTATAATATTACTATAATATATATTCGTAACTATACTACTACGATACAGACAACGAACGCGTGTAGGGTTGAAAAGGTTGTTAAACCTTTGACATTAGTAACAACGGGATTATAAATATGCTAACTCACACATCATTTTTTACATTTTCATGAAAGTCTGGCTCAAACCAACTCAAACTGAGCTCTCCGAAATCTTAACTCTCCAATATCCTTGCTCTTTTTGTTTAAAGAAAGTTTTATTTTTGCAAAATCATAAGGTAAGTTTTATTTCTTCTAGAAAGTTTTATATACACACATCTAATTAGAAGTTTGATTTTCCAAACAAGTCTTGTACTTTAGGAAGTATCAGTGACATATCATGGTAAACCATTCTGTTGAATGGAGGCAGTTTCGCTCATAGGTTTTATTATCAGGATCTGCCTGTGATCATTAAAGTGGATAAATAGTCTACCTGTACATTAATACAACCTGACGTCAAAACACGTTCCTAACAAATCGGTCATCCGTTGCACAAACAAGCTACCAATAGTCAATATGGTTATGTACTGCTAATGACCCATTATGCACTGCTAATAACCATATAATGGTCATTTTACACAATGGTTGAGAATTACAAAATTGAGAAATGAGGCACAGTCCTAAACTTTTGACGAAATATAGCATCTCTATTTTCGGCAAGTTGTCCATTCGGCAAACTGTCCGTTCGGCAAAAAGTCCGTCGGCAAAATGTCCGTTCGGCAAAATGTCTTTCGGCAAAATGTCTTTCGGCAAAGTGTCTTTCCGCAAAATGTCCGGGTACTCCCCCCTCCCCTCCCCATCTCATGTACTACATCTCATACAGTAAAGACTTTGAAGACGAGGTTTGTTGAGGATCGGCATTCTGTCACTGATAACGATGCCAACCAGTCTGTTACCAGACATTTTAATAGTGGCAATCAGTGTTTCCGACATGAGAATTCGAGCCCGCGCGCCGTCCTATTTCTGTTAGCAATGATAGCCGCAAAAAATCACGAAATGCGCCTGTCCTCATTTCCAAGCTAAGTAATGTCCACCCCTGTGGTATATATGAACATTTGTCTTATGTTTGGGTATACTGTATCTGTCCTTGCCTAACTTCAATCACTTTATTTCTTACTAGTTTCCTTATTTCCATTTTTTTAACTATTCCGTTGCTTTCTTTCCTTTTCCTTAATAGTATAATATATTCTGTAATGTGATTTACATTTTTTGGCTACACTTTATTTTGACCAAATCCATCTGATTGTTTTATCTTTTGTCACGTTATCGCTTTTAAATTAAATTCACTAGTATATAAAAGGGCATGTATTTTTCCAATCCATGTTACTAACTTCCCGACGAAGGGCCTTCGCTCGTTTTACTTGTATTTGTCATGTAATTGAATCCTACTCAATCCGCAGTTTTCTGGTTGCACAAACCGTTGGAGTTAGTATATTAGCATTTTATTAATGATAGTTAGCTACTTTCTAAAAATCAGGCAGTTGTGCCACCAGATAGCAACAGTTTTAAATAACGGTGCGGTTCACGCTAAACGCTTTAGGCTTAAAAACACCAAAAACAAGGAATTGCTCTATTTGGAAAAGGTTTAAAAGTTGGAAAAACCTTCCTCCACTTCTTGAATGCCAAAAATGACGTTCTGGAGCAACAAAACTTCAAACTTTTCCGGGGTAGCATACCCCATGCCATTCCCATTTTGCGTCGTTCGCTATTTTTATAGCTTTTTCACAGTTATCCAGAGCTTCACAGATGGCGCATGGCAAGTTAAAAAAAATGCAATGCATCAAGGAATAGTGGGCTCGTCGCTGATACCTGCATTTAATACAGATTTGTCCTTTTCATTTGGTCACATAAACTATACAGTGACTCGGCTACAATACGAAACAAATCATGTTATTTTCAAACATACTGTAAAACAGATTTATTGCACTTCTACAGATCAACAATGAACGTGGATTATTGAAAAATTTTACATCTCACAGTACTAATTAAAATGTATTAAGTTAATGAATTCATGGTTCGGGTTTATGATAACATTACAAATATTCACAACCCATTCTATTAGTAAATACTACTTAACTTGTAAACTACTCTTACTGAATAATGAGTAATAACATAGTTCATCTATCTTGTATACCAATTCCATATTCGTTAGGCAATAGGGCGTGTGTTGTTTCTTAAAATTTGGGAAAATACTTGCTCTTTTTCCTTGAGTGGATTAATTCCGCAGGACGTACATTCGCAGGCTCGAATAACTATGTATTGGTGGTGGTAGCTTCCTCCTGCACACCTCATCTTTGCTTGTGCTAACTCAATAGAAGATGGTTGACAACATGAACAATCCCTGTGGACAAATGGAAATGTGAAAAGGTCGATATTTGTATCGGATTCACAACCACCGACGCATCTAGTTTGTTGCAGTAGTCCAATGCAACCATGGGTATTCGTAACATTCACATTCTTTGACACCACGCTGCAAGTTTTCGGCGCAGGGCTAATGACAGTTGGCACCGCGGTAGTCGTTGTTGTCCTCCTCGGGCTTGGGGTTGTGGTTGTCGTTGTACTTGGCGCTGGCGTTGTTGACGGTACTAAATTGAATAAAAAGCATTAGCTTAGAAATATCACAAAAAGTGAAAAGCACAAAGAGGGAACAAATGAAAGGAAAGCTTCAAAAGAAAAAGTGTCTCTCCACTTGTTGTCAACCTGTGTCAATGCAAGAACGTCCGTGAAAGTAGCCTGCGTGCAGTCCCAGACTCCCAAACAGAGTAGGAAGTACTGCACGCAGGCTAGTGAAAATAGTGCTAATATAAGCTTAAGCCTTAAGCTTAGCACTATTTTCACTATAGCCTTAAGCAATGTTTATAATCATGGTATTTGAGACGTTATAGTCATGATGAAGCAATATTAATTGATGCTGATCCAGGATGAGGTTTCCTATAAAAGTACTTCAAAAACTCAATAATTCAGGAGCAAAACACAAAGAAAAATCATAAGCGTGTCGTGGTTTTATACGTGATAAAAAATCACGTTAGTTTACATAAACTTTAGCTTTGATTTTCTCGGTTTAGACAAAGTTTATTTTAAAAATTACTTCGCCAATGAACTCGTATAAGATGACTCGTTTTTGAAGCTATTTAAAGCACTTGTAGTCGTGTTTTAAATAATACATATAGCATCCTTTCCATTGTATCAATTGAATTTCCATTTTGTGATAAAACACTCCTACGCGTGCTTTAAATAATACATATAGCATCCTTTCCATTGTATCAATTGAATTTCCATTTTTTTCACTTATAGTTGATTTTAAGTTATCACAATGTATTACATAAATTGGAGAATTGCCATAATAAAAATAAATATTAAACTCTGTACAAATACTGTACTGCTATTCAAGAACTCTGGGAATGGTTACCTCGATCCCCCGTTATTCAAAGCTAATGAGTAATGATATGCGCATACTAACAATATATTTCCAGCAATATTTAGACATTGCAGTTGGAATAAATTGAGCTAAAAAATGTCGACGTGGCTTTTTCGATCTATCAGGGTCATTCAGTAAACAATTTTAGTAAACAACTTCAGGGGCTTTGGCGGCGCAGTCGTTAGAGCAAGCGCCTTTCACCTCTGAGACGGTGAGGATGGTGGGGATCGTGGATTCGATTCCCGCTATGCACTCATGTGAAAAAGAATCAGTCAACGCTCTGTCGAAAGTCGTGGATTCTCTTCCGGTGCTCCGGTTTTCTCCCACAGCGAAAGTTGTCAGGGTGGCTTAGGATTGGACCTATTACCTAATGAACAAAATTTTCATTTAGACAAGTGTAGACAAAGATTTCATGACAGCTTGAAAGAGCGTCACAAAATTAGTAATATTCCGAAGTTTCGTTGTGAAATAAATGTTGTAAAATGCGGATAATATAGCCCTGCGAAGTTTGCCGTTTTTCAGTCATTTTGAATTACGCACGGGAAATTGATACCTTTTTTCAGAAAGCGGTATCACCCCGCGCGTAATACAAAATGACTGAAAAACGGCAAACTTCGAAGGGCTATATTATGTACATTTTACAACATTTCGTAACGAAACTTTGGAATATTACTAATTTTGTAATGCTCTTTCCAGCTGTTGTGAAATGTTTATCCAGACTTGTCTAGATCAAAATTTTTTTCATTAGGGAATATAGGTCCAATGCAGTTAGGTAAGCATATGAAACTTGATGTAAAGCGCATTTGATCATATCCACATGGAATTAATTTTTGCTATTGAAATGTTAATCTTAATCTTATCATGGATAATAAAATAAATGGATAGGAAACTAGCTGACGTGACGGCCTAATGTTTTCTGAATGGACTGATGGCGTGGTTGGATGCCTCAACCTAGTTGAAAACCAAATTCTCAAAAACGGCATGTTAATTTAGCAATAATACAGCTAAACATTTTAGTCAAAGAGCAAATAAATATAACCACGCCATTCTACGATGAAAACTTTAAGTATTCCCAGTCAATTTTAGCAAAACAACAAAAATGCCGAGAACTTTGGTAACATTCGCATTTCGCAATACGCGTGACGTCACGTTTTTCAACAAGGATGCAGTCAATGACGTCAGGAAGTTTCCTATCCAGTTATTTTACAATCCATGATCTTATTAAATTGGGTTTATATTTAAGTTAGGTTAGTTTAGCTTAGCTTAGGATTAAGAAATTGACCCATAGCAACTTCTTCCAATTCAACTTGAAGTTCGTAACGAGTTTTCAAAGTTCGAAGCATTTATAGTATTTTAGGCAAAATTAAAATAAAAACCAGTGTAAAACAACAAGTTCCTATCTTGGACTATAGTACATTTTATGGTTAACAAACGATTGATCCAGCGTTGATTCACTTAATCATTTATTGAACAACTACAGTATACGTGCAATCTCAACTCACCACAACGAGGACAACAACGACCAGTAACGTTGACTGCTTCATAACCCTAAGAAAAAGATTTATATTAGAAGACTTTTTACGAAACAACACGGATAATAATAAACTGAAGAATCATCTTCTGAAAAATCTAACAAGCCGTCGATTCGGAGTTTTCAACTGCGCATCCAAATGACGCTTTCTGCGTCGGGAAACATTGCAGTTAAACTGTAATATCATGTAGCTGAGACTGGAAGAACTAGAATATGCAGGAGGAATTCACCTGTTCAATCATCATCATATGAATATGCGAAAAGTTGCTCAAAGAACATTCAATTAGTTTCCGCATCGTTAATTCGCTTTAAATTAGAAAATATACCCCCTTAAGCATGCCGCATGCACAAGAGAAACTAACCACAAACGAGTTCGATCTAGATTTGATCCGTATTTTGCAAAATTGGTTATCACTTCACGAAAATAACGACTTTATAACGGAACTATTTTACCTGGAAATGTCAAACTTTTAACTTGAATTATACCTAGTATTTTTTCTTGAGTTTCAAAGTGGGGGGTTTTTACACCCCCACCCACATGCACATCCTCCCCGGCCGGTCGCTACGTCCCTGCTCGCACGCGATGACTGACTGCAAGCTTATCATCTAGGTAGAATGTCGTTTTTAACAGTACAGAAATCGGGGAAACCACCTGTCCGATGAGCCTTGAACAACTTATATATACATACGCTTATTTGTACTCTCCCAACCTCCTGCGCCGCAACAATTGGTTCAACACGCACAATCATAGAAAACAAATTGACTTTGTATAATCTTTCGTGGCTTACCTGTGGGCAATCCTGACAAGTTTGTCTGGTACATTCAATCATCAAATTCGCTTGACATAGACATGTTACACAAGGAGAAACGATCCATTCTTCTTCAACCTATTAAGACTAGAATTAGTTAATTTCTTGTGGAGAAAAATATATCTAAATATGAGGACTATATAGAGACATTATACGCACCTCATATAGCGTGCCATTTTTCGATTTACAGTAGGGTTTCCCACCATTTCTTTCAGTTGTGGTTATCAGTAGTAGAAGGTGTTGATGTGGAAGTAGTAGAAGGTGTTGGTGTGGAAGTAGTAGAAGGTGTTGGTGTGGAAGTAGTAGAAGGTGTTGATGTGGAAGTAGTAGAAGGTGTTGGTGTGGAAACTAGGAAGTAAAAAGATTAAATATATTAAATAAATGATCGTTTAAAGGGCTTATGCAACGAATTTTTCGATGGTGCGATTTTTGCACATTATTAAAGTTTAAAGATGGGTCCCTCTTGCGAAAAACTGGTTCGCGCTGTGACGTCACAGTAATGAGTCGTGCTGTGTGTAAACAAAGGATTAACACGTTTTACGTAAGGTCCGTCGAAAACAACTCCTTGCTGTGACGTCACACCACTGATCGCCAAAGGTCTTTTCTTTTCGCAATTAAGAAAGTGGCAAAATTTGCGACTTTGAAGGCTTTCCGATCTCTACTTGGAGTACTACTATAAAGCTACTTGGAGTTTCGGAAAACGATTTGCATCTGTCGAACCAGTGCAAAGAACTCTATAACGTAATGAAAAAATCTCACCATCGAAAAATTCGTTGCATAAGGCCTTTAATGAATGACATTAATGATATTACTCTACAAATGTTTTTTTAAATTTTTCACTTCATACGCAGTTGGAAATATGAAAGGTTAAAAACAATCATTCTCAGTTATTCTTAACTTTGACTTAGTGGCGCCCATGTATCAGTCATTTAATTTGCAGTCTCAACCCCAGTTTATCATTACATATTAATTGTATGTTGCGAAATTTATACTTGCCTGGCACACATTTACAACATTCACCAGAACGACTTTCTAGTTTTTGCCCCTGATAAAGCATAAAAAATGGTCACTTTGTATAGGTAATCACATGAGTCGCGCGAAGCGACGAGGGCAATTTGTGAAACTTTGAAAACACACAAGTGTAACCTTAATTTTACGAGGAACTATGCGATTACTTGTTAATCATAGAGGGCAAAATGTATTCGTAAGTTAATTGTGAGCTTGTCAAGTTCTTGAACCTCGTATGTTTCCATGTCTTCGCCGATGTTCCTTAATGCTGCCCTGCCTACCCATTTCTTAAATACTCTAACCAATAAATTACAAGTGTTCATGTGTTCACTAGAAGTTTTTAATTCTTCAATAACATCATTATCCGCGACGACAAAGCGAAAAGCCATTGCATGTTTTTCAATTCAGCTATTTATGAATTAAATCAAGAAACTTCTCGCGCTTGCGTCTCAGCCAATCAGGGATAAGTAATTTTGCCCTGAATTAAGAAAAAATGCCATCCTCATTAGCCAATCATATTTGAGTAATTTTTCCTTCTATATGATTAGCTGATGTAATTCTCGCTGCAGGTAAAAGTAATTTCGATTCTCTTTCACTATGATTTGGCGAAAACAAAAAGTATTGTACTCATGTCGTAATGTTATTCTTTATATACAGGTATGCCGTTTTATTTTGTAGGATAATTTGCTTTCTGAGCTGATTCAATTTTTGAATGTTAGCTTTGCACATTCGCATTCATTGCTAGTTGTATACAAGACAGAGTGTTTATAAATAATTTATATACTGTTGACATACGTGTGGACAAATTTCAATATCACATTGATGTCCGCACTTTTTCTTCCCATTTTGACATTTACAAGAAAGACATTCCCCTTCCTGCCATATCTCGTTGGGCTGTAAAATAATAATCAACAGATAAACATGTTGTAATACAATTTTTAAATTAATTTTTAGACGACAACCTAGTGTTGAAAAAATGTCCAGTGTGCCATTGCCATGCAGTCTGGCGAAACGCAAAATTATGAAAAGGGGTTTACATTTTGCGGCCACATAACCTCAATCCTCTTTAGACGGCAGCTACATAATTTTAACTTACAAAAGGGATACAAGGTGATGTCGGAATATATTTTAGTGTTCAAAGCTTGCTATACTAGTATGCTTTCAACAAAACGACGACATTGTAGCCGGTCACGTGACTAAACTGAAATCTTCGATACACTATAAGGACTAAAAAAATCTTGTTTAAAGCAAAGGTTTACATTCAAACCTCAAGACAAATATTTAAAGAAGTTAATGTGATATTACATCCACCAAGCCACAGCAGAAATGAATGGCATTTATTATAATACATATGTCAGTTTATCCGCCACGTTGGACGGCTCCAATTTGTTATCCAACACGACAATCTTAAAATACTGTAAAAATCGATCACCATCGATTGTTTTTTCAAAATATCTTGAGCGTGCCGAATACTTTTTAATATAAGCACATGACCAGTCAGGATATTGTCATTTTCTTTTAATTAATCATTCCGATCTCTGAATGAAGCGAGGATGAGAGTGGATGAAAGCTGGCAGTCACGCGACTTTGGTTAGCTGTTTCCTAACATTATCATGCATTCTATTTAAGTTAAATCATAGTTATAAAGCTAATCAAACCTTTATATATCTTTAACCTAGAGCTTGAAATGTCTCCTGCATGTAACAATTTATCAATTGCCATCTTCGTTTGACCGGAGATTAAAGCCCGTCGCACACGTGAGCAACTTGTTGAGCTAACAGCCTCTCGAGGCGGGTAGCTCAGCAAGTAGCTCTCGTGTGCGGATAGTTTTCGTGAGGATTTGACCTCTCGAGGCCTTGAGGAAAATATCTATCGTGTTTGATAATTTTTCACCTCGCGAGGAAAAAATCTCAGCGTCTGCAGATATTGTGAGCTAGGTGCTGAGCTGTTTGAATCAATTAGTCAATGACAAACCATAGTTTCTTCATGTGACATGGAACAAAATGGAGGAAAATGCAAATAATTTTGTTAATTATGTTGTTGTTGAGTAGTTTTCCCAACGTGTGCGGTGAAAATACATAGCTGAGCTAGCTACCACTCGAGGCGGTTAGCTCAGCAAGTTGCTCTCGTGTGCGGCGGGCTTTTTAGTATTAAAAACTTAAATTTTGGAATTTCACTAGAACATCACATGCATGCACAGTATCCTTTTTGTAATTAAGCAGATTGAGGTCACCTATTGTACTGTACTCAATTTAAAATTTGAATTCAAGGCAATTTTATAAGACCCTTTGTACCTGTTTAATTGTTCCATTCACAATACAGTAGCACTGTTTAAGAGCCACGCAACTTGTACCATTATCATACGTTCCTTCTGGACATTGACATCCAGGAACACAGGTTTCTTGACATTTAGTGTTCTCGCACGTTCTTGGACATGAGCAATTGTTATGCTTCATTCCTTCACGGCATTCTGTTCAATAGCGCAAAGAAAAATGTTAGTGATAACAAATAAAACTGTACGTAAAACGAATACAACTGCGAAGAGTCTGTCCGTTATATATATTTGCCTCAAATATGCTGTCAATATTCAACTATTTCCCAATCTTCCCAAATAATATATACTTTCAGAAAGAAAACTCACTCGCTTGACAATAACAGCATGAATCTGGATCATTATCGATCAACTCTTCACCCTAAATAAATGCAATCATTAACATGAATAAATCCGATCTACACACAATTATTTTCCATGATCATGTCGATCACTGCATAATTCTTTGCTTAGTAATTGTGTTCCGGCAATACATTTTAAGAAACTACTAAACGTTCATTCTTTGTAGCTTTGAATGGGGACAAATAAAATTTTTGGACGTTGGCGAAAAATAGTTCAAAGATTATTATCTGTTTGGATAATACAAAAGGATAATAATCTTTGAACTATTTTTCGCCAACGTCCAAAAATTTTATTTGTCTTTTATATTTTTTCTTATATTAATTCTTCTATATAAATTGTTATGCGCATGTGAATATATTCAAATGGAACATTGCGCACTATATATGTAAATTATTATTATATTACTGAAAAACAACATCATTGCCTGAAGGTGAGCAAATAATCAGTCTAAAACATTGCTAACATAAGTAAAAATTGATCGTAGCTCCTGTATTAGATAATCAAATAAATTGTACTTTGCAAATAAGGTGAAGTTAACTCGATGTTTTCTGCAATGGTGAACACTTGAACACTTACATTCGGACAAATGTCAATGTTACAGCTCCTGGTACATTTGACTTGGGCATTCGAGTCACATCTGCATACTTTGCATAAACCTTCTTGAAACGTTTCATACATCTAGAATGAAACATAAAGTATAAATGAAACATTCCTAAATTTCGATGCCATTTGCCTCTCAAACTCCGAGTGTAAGCAATTAAACCAGTAGTTAATCCACTCTTAAACATTGGCTATTTAATTACGCATAACTATTTTGCATTTACAAAATTCTCGATTAAAATGGGAAAATAATCATAAAGAAAATACTAACTTCGGTATGATATCATTAGATATTATCGTTTTGTTGCACATCTCAGGTAATACAGTCGTAGTAATTAAAGAAGTTACAAGATACACATCAGTTTACCTGGTAAGTTGTTCCATTGTATATACATACAGGAACAGTGGTAGGAATAGTGATAGGAATAGTGATAGGAATAGTGATAGGAATAGTGATAGGAATAGTAGTAGTACGAAGACCAGTAGTAAGATCAGTAGTAGGACCAGTAGTAGGACCAGTAGTAGGACCAGTAGTAGGACCAGTAGTGGGACCAGTAGCGGGACCAGTAGCGGGACCAGTAGTAGGACCAGTAGTAGGACCCGTAGTAAGACCAATGGTAGGACCGTAGTGGGACCAGTAGCGGGACCAGTAGCGGGACCAGTAGTAGGACCAGTAGTAGGACCCGTAGTAAGACCAATGGTAGGACCAGTAGTAAGACCAGTAGTAAGACCAGTGGTAAGACCAGTGGTAGGACCAGTAGCGGGACCAGTAGCGGGACCAATAGGGGGACCAGTAGTGGGACCAGTAGTGAGACCAGTAGTAGGACCCGCAGTAGGACCCGCAGTAGGACCAGTGGTAGGACCAGTAGCGGGACCAGTAGCGGGACCAGTAGTAGGACCCGTAGTAAGACCAATGGTAGGACCAGTAGTAGGACCAGTAGTAGGACCAGTAGTAGGACCAGTAGTAGGACCAGTAGTGGGACCAGTAGTGGGACCAGTAGCGGGACCAGTAGCGGGACCAGTAGTGGGACCAGTAGTGGGACCAGTAGCGGGACCAGTTGTAGGACCAGTTGTAGGACCCGTAGAGTGGGACCCGTAGTGGGACCCGTAGTGGGACCCGTAGTTGGGACCCGTAGTGGGACCCGTAGTAGTAGGACCCGTAGTAGTAGGACCAGGTAGTAGTAGGACCAGTAGTAGTAGGACCAGTAGTAGTAGGACCAGTAGTAGTAGGACCAGTAGTAGGAACAGTAGTAGGAACAGTAGTAGGACCAGTAGTAGGAACAGTAGTAGGAGGGTTAGCTGCAAGTATAGTGCAAGAAAAAGAGAAAAGGTTAAAAAATTGCGTATTGGCATGAACATATACTGTACAGACTGCTAGCTTGGCAACTATTGTTCTCCTCATTAATATTATTTTCATAGAACAGTAGTAGGACCAGTAGTAGGAGGGTTAGCTGCAAGTATAGTGCAAGAAAAACCAGTTGTAGGACCAGTAGTAGGACCAGTAGTAGGAACAGTAGTAGGACCAGTAGTAGGAGGGTTAGCTGCAAGTATAGTGCAAGAAAAAGAGAAAAGGTTAAAAAATTGCGTATTGGCATGAACATATACTGTACAGACTGCTAGCTTGGCAACTATTGTTCTCCTCATTAATATTATTTTCATAATTAATAGTTAATATTATCAAAGACTTATTATCAGAAAAACTTAACACTTATGGCATCATTTTTTTATTAAATTACCACACGTCAGCGCAAAACCTTATTTTTGTCAGAGCTCTTATTTAAGGTAATTCCGCAGTTTTGCATTGCGCACTTTTACTGCGCACATCTTATGACTTATAATTTCATCCATTATACGTACTGTTTAAAAAATATCATTTTATGACAATTTTATGTTACTTCAAAACATCTTTGGTTACATTCGTGCAAAGAATATTACGTTAAAATCAATGTTTTCAAAAAAGGCATACAAAAGTGTAGCTAGGGTCCTGTGTCTGTAGTATATTTATTCATTTACTTGTATTTCACGTTTTAATGCCGCAATTCCCTAAAAAGATCGGTGACCCCCATTTTTTAACCGATAATTTATTTCTTTAATGCATTTTACATTTCATATCTGAAATTAAAAGAAAAATCATTTCTGGATCTTGAAAAAAATGCTTTATCAATGTATGTTCTCAAAGAAAGATATGTAAAGAAATGTGCAAAAGACATTTGTGGATCAGAATTGTACACGTTAGTAGTTCCATTTTGCTCAAAACACAATATTGTTTTCAAAAACAATTACAAGGTAGGTTTACTAAAGCAAAATCCGCGCTAAAAACGTCAATAAATATCGGGCTGTTGTGATTTTGCTGTTACTCGTAATGAGCGTCAAGATGACGCAATATTGGGGTAAAGGTGGTATATTGTGATTGTCATATCTTCTTAACGAGTTCGGTGACCCCAACTTTTTTGTGTGATTTTACTTTAAGTATATCATAAACTCCATGCCTGAGAAGTTTCAGCACATTCTCATTTCGGGAACAATTACTGCGGAATTACCTTCATTAAACTTTTAAACTTGGCTCTATCGTAATGTGACATGATTTTTTATCACGGTTACGTAGACTTTGTTTGCAAATTTCGCAGGGCTATATCAGTTCCACATTTTACAAAATTTTGCGACCAAATTAATTAAAGTAATTTTAACACGCTCTTTCTAGCTGTGGTGACGGATTTTGTTCTTTTTGCCTAGATCAAGATTTAGTCTATAGCTGGGCGATCATCTATTCTGTTAGTTCCTCGACTAACCTTAATCATAATCTATTACTTCAAGGGCCGTTATTTAGAACAAGTCTCAACAACTACATTCAAGAACTCTTACTTTAATCGAACAGTTCATTTATAGAACTTAGTGTGTAGAACTGCTTCACTTAATAGCTTCTTGACATTATCTAGTTTTGACTTTTGAGAACTTTCTTCATCGGACTTATTCGTTTTTACGTAATTCAGCTTTTGATGTAAACATACCATGTACCTGGTCTCTTGTTCGTGACTGCCCATGTCACAGAAATTAAAATAATGTAAAGTTCTTTGATTGAAGTAAAGTTCGTTTCGTGTATGCCCAAGTCACATGTTTTCAAAACCAAGTTACTTCTATTTTCTGTACAATTTCCCCCAAATCTCCCATTTACGTATTTTAGAGATCAGTTGTGGGTTACGCGCAAACTGAGCTTTACCTCAACTATAGTTTATAAACAGTGTAATGTTGTATAATGTAAATTTAATTATAAAGTTTATAAGGGGGGATACCTAAATAATAGACCTTATGCATAATGACGTCACTAGACTTGATGCCCGTGAGGAATGCTGGTCTTAGTCGCTATTGCTTTTGTTAATTGGCTATGCTTAACAGTGCGTTATTTATCTATATAAACGGCGTATACTATTCTTAATTTACAAATGATGAGAAATCCTACTTACAAGCATGTCCACCTGTAGGCTTTTTTGTTGTTACGGTGTTTATGCCAGTGAAAAAACCTTAAATAAAACAAGTTAAAAAGTTCACTATTTGTGAAAATGAGTATTCTTAATTATCATCATTATTACATTTAATTATACATTGAAGAACTGTAGATTTACTGTAGACTAGTTGCTTCTTCCTGCCTCACGTAAAATACAAGACACTCTTCGTGAATTAAGAATTGTATTAGCTAACTGGAAACGTAATAGTGGTTGGCATTTTAACTTTACCTGATAATTTTGCGATACAGCTTTCCACTATTTGTGGCGCGACTAATTCTAGAAGTCTGCTTATTAAGGGGACGGGCATTTGGTTGTTTATTATTTATTTTTCAATTGTAAGGGCACAGAGTAGATACATATACAGAGCTGGAACTGGCCGTTGTAAACACTGCGGAAACTTACGTTTTCATGTGCCCACTTTTTTCAGCAAAAAATGATCAACTGCGCATTCTCGGCAAGTTCCGCGAGCAGTTAAAACGAGTCGCCATCCAATTCCATCCAATTGGATGCATGCATCTAGTAACTAGCCGAGCATGCGCACAAAAAAAGTGGGTACACTAGTTATAACAGTATAACTCTGTATATGTATCCACTCTGTGGTAAGGGTCTTTCAATTGTAAGGGATATGCCGAAACAAAACTATTATAGTTAAGGTGGCTCGATATAGTTATCACAAAAACCCTGTTTAACAATCACGAACAAAACCGGGTGACCATTTTTACGCGCAGGTTGTGGAAACTGATTAACAAAATGAAAGAACTTCCAAAATGATCTGACGTGACCAGTTCTTCGCGCAATCTTACCTCATTGCGCGTGTTTTATAGCGTTTTATGTCAATTGCTGAAGTCATTAGAATTTTCCATTTTAGAAAAACAATGCGCTATATCTCTCTATTTTGTCTCGTAACCTATGTTCAAATTTTGCATGCTGTATTGCACCGCTAAAAACTTTCATTATATGAAAAATAGAAAATTCTGTAATGTCAAACACATTTTACCGAAGAGTACGACACTTTCTTATTTTTCAAAAAATGGCACCACAGAATATTATCATATTTTGCTAATTGTTAATGCACGAAAAAAATGGGGGGACACCATGCATCTTTTCCAACTATACGAGGCGAGAGGCCATTAAATTTTGGAGTGGATTTCGTACACGTATGTCATCATGGCAACAAACTATCTGTTACTGAAACTAATATAATCTCAAAGTAGAGATATCAAAATATATAAAAACTCCAATATGTGCTGAACAAATCCTAAAAATGCGTAGTGTCAACATGTCAAAGTGTTGAACACCTGAATTTTCGAAAAGTGTATCGAGCCACCTTAAGACCAAAGAATATTCTTTTCTGTACGAATTTATGCCAGGTGAATCTGCCATTTAAATGCACCATTAGACAATTTTTTTCACTATAAACATATTGAAATAAGCATTCTACAGTATAATTTGTATATTCGTTTAATAAACCGTATACTAACCTGTTGTAGTTTGAGTCGTTGGACTGGTTGGTTTTTCAGTAGTTTTATTAGATGGACCAGCAGTTGTCTTTTCTGTAGTACTTGGTTGAGTCCTTGAACCGGTTGGTGTAGTACGGAGGACCAGTAGTAGGAGGACCAGTAGTAGGAGGACCAGTAGTAGGAGGACCAGTAGTAGGAGGACCAGTAGTAGGACCCGTAGTAGGATTAGGAGCATTACCAGTAACCAGTAGTAGGAGGACCAGTAGTAGGACCCGTAGTAGGATTAGGAGCATTACCAGTAATAGGACCAGCAGTAGTAGGACCAGTAGTAGGACCAGTAGTAGGACCAGTAGTAGGACCAGTAGTAGGACCAGTAGTAGGACCAGTAGTAGGACCAGTAGTAGGACCGGTAGTAGGACCGGTAGTAGGACCAGTAGTAGGACCAGTAGTAGGACCAGAAGTAGGACCAGTAGTAGGACTAGGAGTATGACCAGTAATAGGACCAGTAGTAGGACCAGTAGTAGGACCAGAAGCAGGACCAGTTGTAGGACTAGGAGTATGACCAGTAATAGGACCAGTAATAGGACCAGTAGTAGGACCAGTAATAGGACCAGTAATAGGACCAGTAATAGGACCAGTAGTAGGACCAATAGTAGGACCAGTAGTAGGACCAGTAGTAGGACCAGTAGTAGGACCAGTAGTAGGACCAGTAGTAGGACCAATAGTAGGACCAATAGTAGGACCAATAGTAGGACCAATAGTAGGACCAGTAGTAGGACCAGTAGTAGGACCAGTAGTAGGACCAGTAGTAGGACCAGTAGTAGGACTACGCTGAGTTGTTGAAACGGTTGGTTGTTCAGAAGTTGTAAAACGTGTACCAGCAGTTGTTGTTAAACCTGTAGGAGTGCCTGGTGTTGTTTTGGGACAGCTTTCTGGTGATTCATCTGATCCATTAGGGCAATCAACATAATTATCGCAAACCCATTCGTTCGGAATACACTTTTCACTACCTAAGCAAGGCACCTCTCCCCGACCGCATGTACAATTATTTTCATCCTTACCTCCTGGACAATCTATGTATTTATCGCACAGATAAGCGCTTGGAATGCATTTGCCACTAGGGCATTGGAATTGGCCTACACGACAAGTAGTAGGAGGTGGTGCCGTTTTGTTACAATTTGTTTCGTCTTCTCCATGTGAGCAGTCTTTGTTGCCGTCACAAAGTTTCCTGTAAAGAAATATGTATTGACATATGCAGAATTATATTGCATTGACTGATACGGTATCTTGTAGATCAACAAGAACATGTTTGATTAAAATTCGTCGGTTTAAATACACAAATTTACCTTAATCTGACATTCAGTTAATGGAACTGCTCAACTAACAGAGCATCTAGAGTGTACGAGTTCTAACTTGTGTCTAACTTAATTAGGAATTTTCAACAGATTGAAAACAAAGCAAACTTATTCAAAACTATTAACTGGTCTTAACTTCAAAGCTCTGGCATGTTCTATATCGAGTTATGAAAGCACTCCAGAAGTTGAGCAGAAAGAGCACACGAACAAGGGATAAGGAAAATATAACCTTTCTGAACACTTGGTAGTACTTGGTGCTAATTTAACAACCTTTTCAACCCTACACGCGTTCGTTGTCTGTATCGTAGTAGTATAGTTACGAATATATATTATAGTAAAATTATACAAATGATAGGGATATTTTATTTTATTACAACGACGTTTCGATGCTTCTTGCATCATTTTCAAGTTAAAGATAAAAATCATTCGTTTTTAGCTTTAATTAAATTTAAATGTGATCTGTGCGATGCGGATTATATGTTGGCTATACTTGTCGACACCTATAGGCATCAACGCATTGATGAACACAAGGGATCAGTGGTAGGAATCCATATGCGTAATCATCATGGAAACTAGAGTACATCGAGGATTGAAAACTGCTTTTCAATTCTGCTCTAGTGTCGAGGGAAGTATGAGTGCCTACTCTACGAGATGCTTTACATTAGGGAACCAGAGGCGTAGCCAGAATTTTTGGTCAGGGGGGAGGGCAGCAAAACCCAGGTGGGGCCAAGCCGCCAGTCGCTCGAGACGCAAAGTTCGCGCAAGGCATTCTGTGCAGTGCTGGGTAAAATTAATTATCGACACATGTGATTTTTCACCGAGCCCGCGTTAAAAATTCACTGGTAAAAAAGCCAGATTAGTTTAAACTTCATCTAACCCTCATTTAATACATATTAATATTTAGGGTTAGAAAAGGTGTTTCAAGTTGTGTGTTGCAAATAAGCGAACAAGATTTTAGGTTTCACACCGATGCGCATCAAAGCATATATTCTACAGAATTTTTGCATTATTGACGGCATGAAGCTATATAATCAAGGATTCCCTTTTTATACAATACATTTTATCAGGGGGGGGGACTTTTGCCAGGGGGTAGCCCTGGCTACGCCTCTGTAGGGAACTGAAGCCATCTTTCAACACTCAGTCTGACTCGATACGTTCTAAGCTATTTGCTTAATATTAATTTGTTAATCTTGTTTGTTGTGTTTGTCTTATGTGTAAATAGCTAAATGTTTTTAATATTTTTGTATTTTTTTGTCTTGTGCATTTAGTAAAATATTTTGCCTGCTTGCGCAAATGATTTGTTTACGTGACACGAACACGTGAACCTTTATAATTAAAGCTAAACACATAAACACGAATAATTCTTATCTTTAACTGAAAATGATGCAAGAAGCATCAAAACGTCGTTGTAATAAAATAATTATTAATATCGCTAATTAATTTCACAAAAGATTTTAATAAAGCAGTATCATAACTAAATATGAATATTTTCAGTGAATGTTTTACTTCTTAGTTTGTATTAAAGTGCTTAGAAACGAAAGTTGAAATTTGAAGAAATTTGTGAAAAGTAAGGAAAGAGATTGAGGATTACTACATAGATTAGTAAATATTACCATGACAACTACATGACCTAGCAAAAATGTTTATATGGGTGCACCCACTAATGTACCAAGTTTCATTGAATTTTATTAAATACTCACAAAGATATCAGACTTTCAAGTGCTATGCAACGAAATTTCACGCCATTTTTTATGATTGCATTGTAAAAAAACAAAATGACCACATAAGATACTTTGTTAAACTCTTTCAACTTGCTTAATAGTTTTTGACTAACCATTTTTTATATACAATTTCTGAAAATATTTCCAGATCTCGGGATATCTTGGGTCGAAATTATAAAACCGTACATTTTGTGTTATGAACTGCTGGTCGATCTACAAAGATATGTTGTACGTCAACAAATTTGAATCAATTATCGATAAGGGTTGTAAACGTTTTTCAGAAAACGATTATGCATTTGACGTCATAGGGCAATTTGTGTATCAAACATTGTTAAATATCTCAAGAAATAAACAAGCTAAGTCAGTTTGAAAAACTGAGCTATCTCATTAGTATCGCACTTTAAATAATTTTGATTGATGAAACGAGAATGAAGGTATGAATCTTCACTGATATCTCATCAGATGTAAATGACATCAATATGACACCACGTTGGTTGCATTGCATTATTAGACGAAATGAAATGTCCCAACAAGGAAACATAGAAACAAGATAAAAAATAAACACTTTCATGTCATATATGCATTTAAAGAAGACTAACCTGAAGGTTATACACGTCTTATTACTACAAGTAAACTCATAACATGTACAGTTCTGGTATTCATCGGAATTATCCCCGCAGTCATTGACTCCATCACACACATTCTGTTTGCTAGCACATTTGCCATTTTTACATTGGAACTGAGTAGGACGACATATAGGACAGTCGTTTCCTTCATCAGAATTGTCACCACAGTCATCATACTTATCACAGACGTATTTTCTGTTGATACACTTTCCTATAAAAAGATAAAGGTCTTTTCCAGAAAAATTAAAATAAGTCGAACAATGAGTACTTGGGAGAAGAGCGTGAAACTATGAAAATGCAATTTGTGGAATGATTCTGATTTTTGAATCATGATTTGATGGCACCACTACTACGCCAATCTTGTCGACGTTTGCGCTCCTCCCGTTCCTTTATTTTGATTGAGAATGTCTGCGAAAATATCCACGAATTATTATGCTGTACTTCATGAGTGTTGAACATTGCACAGTTAAATTGCGTGTAGACGCTACGGTAAAGGTCAACACCCAAGGAACTTATAGCTTTTGGATTTGGCTACTAAGCATACCAATATCTCATTGCTTAACTAAGGACAAAAATATAGTAATTTTAATAAAAAGTGCATTATCTGAAAATCACGGGCCTCGTGAAGGCTTGCGCCTGTAGGCTTCAGTCTACTCAGTCCACTGGGTAATTCGCCACTGGATTGGTTTAAAATGTTTTCTTACCATTATCACATTCAAACTCTTTACACTTCTCTGGAGTTGTAGGTATGGTTGTTGGTGCTGGCGTTGTTGTCACTTCGAATGCACATCCAAATAAGCCAAGTCGTAAACAAGGATTTGATCCCCATTCAACTGGCAAAATTTTAACGTAAAGAGCCACAAATGGATGACGTATTTTATTATATGTCGTTACGCTGGCATAAACACTTCCATTGAAAATCTAAACGTATAATTCATTCCCATAATGAGGACAGTGAAATGCAGTACGTATGAACTCAAGCAATAAACATAATTGACTTGCTTCGGTGAAATCATCACATGATTTGGGAAAGCTGTGCCGGGATCTTTAACAGTGAGAATAATAGCTAATGAAGCTCTGTGGGCCTGAAGATCATGATAGGAAATACAACGTTTTAGCAAAAGTAAGACCAATTATATATTCATCTACAAGGAATAATGGTCAGAAATAATATACTACAGGATGTCCCAAATACAATAGACATGTCGGGCATCGAATATTCACTAATCTAAGTGATAAATTTTGATACTAGGTTAAAAGTCTGCTGGTTCTCCCAATCGATCATTAAATTCTTGTGATAGTTACGTTGCATATCGGCAGACATCAGTGGCGTAGCAAACTCGATAATTGGTGGGGGGGGGGGCTAATTGAAATCAATTGTTTTTAAGGTCTGTGAACACGAATATATGAATATTCCCCCCCCCCCAATTATCGAGTTTACTACGCCACTGGTAGACATGATGACCCCTTGCTTCGAACGGCCATAAAAATGGGTCTAATAGACCAATGTACCAATCATGATCAGTTAGGAAGCTCAACGGTCAAACCAAGAGTTAAACCTCCAGTTTCCGTTTGCTTACTAGTGCTATCGATGCATATAGCGTTGCGTGAGGGAGAGTATTTAGTCATTGGTTACTTACATGCTCTTCACCGTTTTCTTGATAAAAAATCCAATTTTTACCGTCCATACTGTAGCTTATCTTGTACTTTTTCACCAGTTTTGCATAGATTTTCGGTGATCCTTGAATAGCAATCCGTGTCACTTGCGCAGTTTCTAGCAATTTCACGCTTAACCAAGGTTTCTTATCATCACTGGAAGCACACCATACACCCGAACCTTTGTTGAGAATATGAGTATTGTTGAGACGACCCTCGCTGGCACTCCAAAACCTGTTATTCATGAATATTGATGATGATGCGAAGTTCTCATCAGGAATGGCACCATTTCGTTCTAACAATAAACGAATGAATCAATATCTGAGAAATACATAAGTTGAACTCGAATATACAACAAAGAAGAACAGCTAGCTGAGGGAAAGTAAAGTAGAATCAAGAAAAAACAAAAGCACACGAAACAAAACGAACCCACACAGAAATTTTGCACAACAAAGAAGAAAACAAAACCAATGCAAGAACATAAGTCTAATGATTGTTGGATTCGTAAAACAAAGGTCCCGGGGACGATATACTCACAGCAGTCAAGCAATTTTGAGCTTACCAGCCTAGTAGGTGCTGGTCACTCGGAGTAACACACTGAAAGTACATGTTGAAGATGTACAGCAAACAAACCAAAAACAAAACTGCACAAACCATGTTTAGCCGACATAAGAAACGAATCAAAACTATTGTATTACAAAAAATCCTGAAAGAAAGCCAACCTGCTTTTTTATAAGGTTTTCAGTTAATTGCAAATAATGTTTACCAAATGAGGCAGTTTCATTCATAAAAAACGAAACAATTAACACTTATACTTTATATAGGCTAGGACTTACCAACTCCAAGAGAATCCTGACAAGAAGGAGTAATATTTGTACAGTTAACTTCATCCTCGCCACTAGGACAATCCTGTTCTTTGTCGCAAAACCAGCTCTTCAAAATACATTTCCCGCTCGAGCATTTATACTCATTACTCGGACAGGATGGTGTGACAGGAGGGGGTTGTACATACTCAATGCACTTGGGGCAACAATTTTTCATCACAATTTTGAATAATGGTGGGAAACAATTTCCGATAGTTGGACAAGGTTTAGGCTCACAAGTGACACTGTTATTCCAGCACGAACATATATCACATCCACTTGTCCAGGATTTGAGTGGCTCAATGTAGGAACCGTTATGTTTGCAAGGACATTCCACTGGCCGAACGCAATGACTTCCATTATGGACTGTATTACTTGGACAAACGCATCCTGGTTTGCAGAGGTCTTTGTTACTCGGAGGTTGGTAATCGTTAGACTGGCAAGCACCCATATATTGACACGAGGAAATACATTTGGGACGGCAATCTGTAAAAACCTACAATAAATAATAATAAAACAGTAGAAAGATTATTAAGCAAAATGAATGTTAGAAGGAAGCTTTAAATGTATCTTGGGAGTTACCTATCAAATTCTACAGAGTATAGGACTCCAATATTTCTATACTGTATGTTGGACCTCATTAATAATTGGTATATAAATCATCCCTGCAGTGTAGAAACGTCGGGTCGGTAATGCAATTCGACTGGGCTTTTCATTCATTTAGAGTAGCGCGAGCGAAAACATGACTCATATTATACCTGGTTGCGTGAACTCACAAACTTTAAAGCTCATTGATAATTGTTAACCATTTATTTTCTCTTTAATTATTAGATACAGTACACCCGTTCATTTTATTAATTATCACAACTTTTACTAATCGACAAAAAGGTTATGTTTCAGAATTTATTTACGTAGTAGACAATATTAAAACAGTATAAAAACAGTCAAATATTAGAGTCAAAATATTAAAACGTCAAATAATACAAAAGCAACACATATGACAATTGGACAATTTAAGGCTGCTCTCGACCGCAAATAATACGTGATTCTCTTCTGTAAATATTTTTCTATATTTGATATTTCCTGCATGTTAATTAAGTTACTTTGTATTATTCTGTAAATATCTTACTTTTTGACAACATTTCTTGCATGTTAAATCCTAATTATGTTGTTGTGATGTAAATAATGTATATTTTTAACTTTTTAACATTTTGTAAATATTTTAAACGGCCCCTTGGAAATCAACTACCTAGGTGTGTTGAAGGGTTACCGTTTTTAAATAGGAGTTAATAATAATAATAATAATAATAATATGATGTATTGTTTCTTACCATGTCACTAGGACAAGGAGTCGTTGGAGTCGGAGATGATGATGGCGTTATTGCTGTTGTTGTAATGTTTGGTGGTCTTGCAGTAGTTTTAGTACAATTTATTTCATCTGTCCCACCACAGTCGTCACTACCATCACAAACCTGACAAAAATTGCATATAATAGTTATGAGACCGACATCGTGCTCTGTTAGAGTCATTTAGGTGTCATAACTCCAGGGCCGCCCAGAGGTTGGCGGGGGCCCGGGGCAAATTTTTTTTTAGGGGCCCTATCTAAAAAAATTTTCCCGGAACATTTTTTTTCGTCCTCCCCCCCCCCGTCGCCAAAACTTTTTCGGTCAGTGTACCATTTTAGGGGTAAAAATTTTTTTCCGGATTACAAAATTTTTCCGGACGAGTACGTTGCTATTGCTTTCGAGGGACTTTATCTCAGTTTTCTATGCCAAAATTCGGTATTTTGTCCTTTGCGCGGAAATATTTAACACACAAAAAAGGCTGGGGCCCAACAAAAATTTTTCAGGGGCCCCCAGCAACTCGGGGCAATAACGCTAAGCAAAAATTATGTTTGTGTAGAGTCGCGGATGGGAATTGCATGAGAGCTGCGAAACGTTCATCAATATGCATACTGTTAGAGTAATTTAGCAGCCACGGCACTATAGGTAAAAAATGCCTGAAAATAAGGTAAGTAAATTAAAGACTAGCTTGCAAGGCAGTGGTTTGAAAACAACGGAAATTCCGTATCGCAAAAATCGCAGTAATCTTTGCGACGTTGTCGTAAGAGTCTTAGTTATTGGCGTGACTCAAGTTTCCAATAAATCGCAGTTTTTATTAAAAATTTCGCGCTTTTAAAATCGTTGCGACGCTTGCGATGCGGTTTTTGCGATAATTACGATTTAATGGAAACCAAGCTTCGGCGTGACTCAAGTTTACAATAAATCGCAGTTTTTTTTATAACCAGTTTTGCGTTTTTAGAATCGTTGCGCTTGCGATGCGGTTCTTGTGATAACTCGATCACTAAACGCGAAAAGCATGATGGATTGCTTACAAACTCTGTGATTTTCAAATATTTTTTATTTTATTCGGGAATATATTCGATTTTATTCATGAATATTCATACCATACGTTTTTTGCATTACACTGTTTGGTTTTTCATTAAATTTCATCCGTAAACATAAACATTGAAATTTGTAACATACTATTTCTATCTGCCTTCGTCTAGAATAATAATCTACTAGTACGCCCTCAACTCCAATTATATTATTTTTACTTACCCATTCTTGTGGAATGCACGAACAGTCAACAAGACAGAGGAAGTTTGGTCCGCATTTCTTCGGACATGTTGTTGGTGTTACTGGCGTAGGTTTTGAGCCAGTGGTACTTGCAGTTGGAGTGGTGAATAAGGAGTGGTTGATCCAGTGGTACTTACAGTTGAGAATTGAAGCAGTGGTGCTCTCTGGTTTCACAGGCGGTTTGGTGCTTGAAGGTGAAGCTGAATAAGGAGTGGTTGATCCAGTGGTACTTACAGTTGGAGTTGAAGCAGTGGTACTCTCTGGTTTCACAGGTGGTTTGGTGCTTGGTTTCACAGGTGGTTTGGTGCTTGAAACTGAATAAGGAGTGGTTGATCCAGTGGTACTTACAGTTGAAGTTGAAGCAGTGGTACTCTCTGGTTTCACAGGTGGTTTGGTGCTTGAAACTGAATAAGGAGTGGTTGATCCAGTGGTACTTACAGTTGAAGTTGAAGCAGTGGTACTCTCTGGTTTCACAGGTGGTTTGGTGCTTGAAACTGAATAAGGAGTGGTTGATCCAGTGGTACTTACAGTTGAAGTTGAAGCAGTGGTACTCTCTGGTCTCACAGGTGGTTTGGTGCTTGAAGCTGAATAAAAAGTGGTTGATCCAGTGGTACTTACAGTTGGAGTTGAAGCAGTGGTACTCTCTGGTTTCACAGGTGGTTTGGTGCTTGAAGCAGAATAAGGAGTGGTTGATTCAATGGTACTTACAGTTGGAGTTGAAGCAGTGGTACTTTCTGGTTTCACAGGCGGTTTGGTGCTTGAAGCTGAATAAGGAGTGGTTGATCCAGTGGTACTTACAGTCGAAGTTGAAGCAGTGGTGCTCTCTGGTTTCACAGGCGGTTTGGTGCTTGAAGGTGAAGCTGAATAAGGAGTGGTTGATGCAGTGGTACTTACAGTTGGAGTTGAAGCAGTGGTACTCTCTGGATTCACAGGTGGTTTGGTGCTTGAAACTGAATAAGGAGTGGTTGATCCAGTGGTACTTACAGTTGAAGTTGAAGCAGTGGTACTCTCTGGTTTCACAGGCGGTTTGGCGCTTGAAGCTGAATAAGGAGTCGTTGACCCAGTGATACTTACAGTTGGAGTTGAAGCAGTGGTACTCTCTGGTTTCACAGGTGGTTTGGTGCTTGAAGCAGAATAAGGAGTGGTTGATTCAGCGGTACTTACAGTTGGAGTTGAAGCAGTGGTACTTTCTGGTTTCACCGGCGGTTTGGTGCTTGAAGCTGAATAAGGAGTGGTTGATCCAGTGGTACTTACAGTCGAAGTTGAAGCAGTGGTATTCTCTGGTTTCACAGGTGGTTTGGTGCTTGAAGCTGAATAAGGAGTCGTTGATCCAGTGGTACTTACAGTTGGAGTTGAAGCAGTGGTAGTCTCTGGTTTCACAGGTGGTTTGGTGCTTGAAACTGAATAAGGAGTCGTTGATCCAGTGGTACTTACAGTAGGAGTTGAAGCAGTGGTACTCTCTGGTTTCACAGGTAGTTTGGTGCTTGAAGCTGAATAAGGAGTCGTTGATCCAGTTGTACTTACAGTTGGAGTTGAAGCAGTGGTAATCTCTGGTCTCACAGGTGGTTTGGTGCTTGAAGCTGAATAAGGAGTCGTTGATCCAGTGGTACTTACAGTTGGAGTTGAAGCAGTGGTACTTTCTGGTTTCACAGGCGGTTTGGTGCTCGAAGCTGAATAAGGAGTGGTTGATTCTGTGGTACTTACAGTTGGAGTTGAAGCAGTGGTACTCTCTGGTTTCACAGGCGGTTTGGTGCTTGAAGCTGAATAAGGAGTGGTTGATCCAGTGGTACTTACAGTCGAAGTTGAAGCAGTGGTACTCTCTGGTTTCACAGGCGGTTTGGTGCTTGAAGCTGAATAAGGAGTGGTTGATCCAGTGGTACTTACAGTGGAAGTTGAAGCAGTGGTACTCTCTGGTTTCACAGGTGGTTTGGTGCTTGAAGCTGAATAAGGAGTCGTTGATCCAGTGGTACTTACAGTTGGAGTTGAAGCAGTGGTACTCTCTGGTTTCAAAGGTGGTTTGGTGCTTGAAGCTGAATAAGGAGTCGTCGATCCAGTGGTACTTACAGTTGGAGTTGAAGCAGTGGTAATCTCTGGTCTCACAGGTGGTTTGGTGCTTGAAGCTGAATAAGGAGTCGTTGATCCAGTGGTACTTATAGTTGGAGTTGAAGCAGTGGTACTCTCTGGTTTCACAGGCGGTTTGGTGCTTGAAGCTGAATAAGGAGTCGTTGATCCAGTGGTACTTACAGTTGGAGTTGAAGCAGTGGTACTCTCTGGTTTCACAGGTGGTTTGGTGCTTGAAGCTGAATAAGGAGTAGTTGATCCAGTGGTACTTACAGTTGGAGTTGAAGCAGTGGTACTTTCTGGTTTCACAGGCGGTTTGGTGCTTGAAGCTGAATAAGGAGTGGTTGATTCAGTGGTACTTACAGTTGGAGTTGAAGCAGTGGTACTCTCTGGTTTCACAGGCGGTTTGGTGCTTGAAGCTGAATAAGGAGGGGTTGATTCTGTGGTACTTACAGTTGGAGTTGAAGCAGTGGTACTCTCTGGTTTCACAGGCGGTTTGGTGCTTGAAGCTGAATAAGGAGTGGTTGATCCAGTGGTACTTACAGTTGGAGTTGAAGCAGTGGTGCTGTCTGGTTTCACAGGCGGTTTGGTGCTTGAAGCAGTATAAGAAGTGGTTGAGCCAGTGGTACTTGGTGTTGTACTAGCTGGAGTTGTTGGGCCAGTTGTACTTGGTGTTGTACTAGGTGGAATTGTTGAGCCGGTTGCACTTGGTGCTATACTAGTTAGAGTGGTTGAGCCCGTTGTACTGCTTGTTGTACTAACTGGAGTTGTGGAAGGAACTATTAAACAAATAGTTGTATAAAAGTGAAACATTAAACAGATTGATCGACTGATCAGGTGGCAGTGACATTAGTTACACGCATCTGCTCGAAATCTATAGTTTTATATAAACAAATGATAGGTTTCAGCAATATTTAGTAAATACTAGTTAACATGGGCAGTTTAGACTTTGATGTATAGTGACTCATATTGACAAAATATCTTACCTGTTGTGGTACATGTTGGACCAGTGCAGCTAAGGCAACCATTTCTACAGACGCTGGAATGAGAATGATTAAATCATCTTTTTCACAAAGCATTTGAAAAAGGCATTTTATATCTCTTAATAGTTATGTTAACCAGATTTTTATTAGAATACCAGAATACCAGGAAGCAACATACTCAATTATGTTACTCAGTGTAGTCATTCTTTGACATGTATTTCTCAATATGTATTAAGTTGAAGAAATGCGTATAAATATACGGCACTGTTTTCATGAATATGCCATATTACAGCATGAAATAAACAAATATTAATTACCATCTCTGACAATTCTTAATAACAAATGCAGTGGCATTATACGCTTTCCCACCAACGATGCACGGGCAGTTTTCCTGCTGTATGCATTTTCCATTGTGCTCCACTGTGCCTTCAGGACAGTGGCAACCTTCGACACAAGCCACAGGACAAACTGAATTTTGATCACAAGAACTTGAGCACGTGTTTGCACATGCTGGACCACATGGCTTGTAGATCTTTCGTCCTTCACACTGCACAGCTGTTTAATCAAAACATTGCCTTGCATTAGTAATAGAAAACATAATCATATAGAAACTTACCAAATTTGGTAGTTAACCATGAAAACAACTTATTTACAATAGATTACATTGTCCGCTTAGATTTCAAGCTATTACTTCATTTAGTTTTTGAAGACAACCTACGCATATTGGCTTGGCGTATATTTTGATCTCCAAGCAAAGATAGTCATCATTGGAAACATAATAATATGGATCACTATACAAACCGACGAATAAGTACTCGTCATTATTATGAAATTGTCTGCTTATTGAAAAGAAAGACGATACAGTCAGGTTAGTGTGGAGATACCCAACAGGAAACAATGAGGAACAGTTGGGAGACAAAGGATGAGTTGAAGAAGAAACAAACCTGGATGATGATATGAATTTTAGAGAGGAAGGTGCCTATAAGATAGGTGGCTGGGGACAGTTCATTTTCAAGGAGAGGAAGAAGAAAAGAGATGAAGATGGTCAATACAATGCCATGCCGATCATCTTTGACTTTTCGGGTTACCGATAAAATATGAAACGTTGTGTTTCCCAAAACTCCCAAAGACATGCATTCCATCGACCTCTTATATGTTTACCAATCTAACTATAGTGATATATTTAGACATATTTATTAAAACATTTGGTTATGCTGAAGCACCATAATTATATCTTTCATATTTTCACGTCATTAAAAACATAATCATTATCCTGCTCAGTTGGGAGCTACTTTCACAAATACTTTAAATGAAAATGACATTCTGGGCATTTTGTTTGATTACTATTGACCAATGCATTATGCGTCTTATGCTGCAATGCACCCAATGGACCTGATTTTATATGTTATTCTGTCTAATACAAGACGATTTACTCGTCAAGGGTAGAGTTTTGTGCAGTAATGGTTTAAAAATCCATTATGATGCAATAAAACACGAAACGCACTAACGTTTACTA